CCCTACCGCTGTGCTAGGAAAACTCCAAGACACATTACACTCGAAATGACAAAATCCAAAAAGAATACTGAAAGCAGCAAGATCAAAAAGGGAACTTACATACAAAGGAAATGCTGTACATCTGCTGGATGTACAGAGATCTAGCAAATGAGACACTGTGAGTCAGGAGAGCCTGGAGGGCTATAGTAGAGGAACTCACCGAAACGGGCTGGAGCGACAGTATAGTGGGTCAGGCATTTGAGCCTTGCATGCAACCAACCCAGGTTCTGTCCCTGGCATCCCATATGGTCCCCCAAGAACTGTCAGGAGTAATTCCCGAGTGTGAGCCAGGAGGGACCTCTAGAGCATTTGACACACAAAAAACAAAACACAAAAAAAGAAACTCATCGAAACGAACCCCTCACCAAGAATACCCTACCCAGCTATACTGTCATTCAGATTCGAAGGAACGACACAGCTTCACAGACAGGCAACAGCTTAGGGTATTCACAGCCTTGAAACCAGCTTTGCAAGAAGCATTAAAAGTTTATTATCTGCCGGTTAAGTCTGGGAATGCAGGTGGAAGAGAGGGGACATTGGTGTTGGAAGGCTGCAGGCCTGAAACAACCCTACTGCGAACCAATCTGCAAACCATGTTTGTTTGTTTGTTTTACAAACCATGGTTTCTTAATGACAACACCAAAAAAAAAAAAAAAAAGAGAAGTCATGCTTTCTAAACCACGGAGGCACTGGGAAGTGATCATGCTAAGTAGGACAAAGCCAGGAAGTGAAAGATAATTACTGAACGCTGTCACCAATGTATGGAATACACATAATCAAAGCAAATGGCAAAAGACCACAGAAATAACCTTTAAGACTGGAGAAGATGGTGGTTACCGGAGAGAAAGGGGCAGGTGAGAAGGGGTCAACTGGACAATATGGTTAAGAATCAGACACATATGAAAGTGTGAAGCCATACTGAAAACTCACGGCATAATGACACAACAGTAAATCGGTAAAATTGGATTAGAAAGTTCAGCTGAGAGGCCAGAGAGACGCTGGGGGGCAGGAGGGGGGAAACACAACATGGATATGCTCTGCATCCAGCTGACCCTGTTTTGATCCCCGATGCCCCTCCCCCAGATACAGACTTGGAGGTCACAAGCACCGCAGGGCAGCCCGGGTCATCCCCACAGTGAACTGCTCCCGTCCCCCCAAAATCAGGAGAGCATACTTGGGGCTTTTTTGAGAGAGGCCTGTCCTTCGTTATGCTATGGCTCCTTTGATAAAACCCTAAAATAGCATCTCTCACCCAGAGCACAGGCCGCCCGCAGGATCCCAGCATATCCCGAGGCCTAGAAGAAAGGCAGGCGCACAGCCATGTGCAGGGCTAGTGGCCCACAGGAGGAGGGGGCCATAGAGGGGCCGTTTAGGGAAAGCTGAGAAACACCGGGTGTGAACAGCGGGAAATCGCTCTGTTGTGTTTCTGCACTCCAGAGGTCCAACATTAAGGTACCTACACAGTCATATTCCTTGCTGAAGGCATAGAAGGAAACCTTTCCTTCCCTCTTCTTGTATGAGTTAATCAGCAATCCTAGGCACCACTGGGCTCGAAACTAATACTCTACTGGGCTGCACTTGGGAAGATGGATCAAAGGGCCAGAAAGTCTCATTTGTACGAGGGAGCCCAGAGCTGTCGGTCTGTTTCTGAGCACTACTGTGTCTCCTGCCCTCCACCCCAAAGTGTCTAACGGACTATAGGAAGGATGGAAATTACAGGGAAATTCTTCTAGTCATTTATACACCTGTACTCTCCAAAGTTTTTAACTATAATAGTTAAATCTTTACTCTCACAATGATTTTTTTTTTTTTTTTTTTTGCTTTTTGGGTCACATCTGGCGATGCTCAGGGATTACTCCTGCACTCAGAAATTACTCCTGGCGGTGCTTGGGGGACCATATGGGATGCTGGGAATCGAACCCGGGTCGGCTGCGTGCAAGACCAACGCCCTACCTGCTGTGCTATTGCTCCAGCCCCTACAATGATTTCTCTTAAACTTTTTGTTTTTGGTAGGAAATGTATTGTATCAACCGAGGGAGAAGGTTATGTCAAATTTCTGGTACACATTTCACCCCAATAATTGTCAGAGATTTTCGGATTTTTCTGGGGTGGAGGACAAAAAAAAGCAGGCCCGGAGTGTGCATCTTGCAGTGAGTGCCTCGCGGATGCTGAGGTCAGTGCATCTCTAGGCTCCTGCTGGCTGCTAAGCAGCCCCGTCGATCTCTGACAGCGGGATGTGGAAGCCCAATCATCACCGCACTCTTGCCTTTTCCTTTTGGCGCACAGCTTTTACTCCACATTTTGAAGCTCTTGCTATGGCAACCTGTAATTCCTTTGTTTTCCTTTACTTTGGTGCTCAGGGGCTTCTGCTCAGAGTGCTGCTCGGGGGCCTGGGGTGCTGGTGCCAGGACCAGGGCCTCCTCCAGCGCCCAGGACGCGTGTGCGCGGGCTCTCTGCACAGGGCCTGCCCGACCCCATGGCCCTAACAGTGTGCAATGGTATTCTCTGCTCTGGCGACTGGCTCTCTTTTGAAGTCCAGTATAAACTTTAATACACGTTTAATATAAATTTACCTATTGAATTACTTTTCCACCTTCTTCCTATGAATGATACCCACATCGCTCTCTGAATGTCTCTTTTCCCACCGTGGGGGAGGGATGAGGCCTTGCAGTGGTATGTAAGGGCCCGAGGCCATCACCTGAACCACTGTTGGCAGGTGATGAAGTCTAACAGGGCAGCAGGATTCGGATCAGTCGGTTGGTGGGTGGTGCTCAGGGAGGTGCTACGTGATCTGGGAACTCAACACAGGGCCTTGCCTGCATGCAGCCCTTGGAAAGCTGTGGGTGAGGAGGTCTGGGTGACTCCTGATCGTGCTCAGACAATCACGAGGTACTGGGAAATAAACTAGGGTTGGGAAAAGTGCTTTCATCCCCATATCTCATTAGGGTCGGGTAAGTGCATTCATGGGTTCTGTGTTAGACTGTGGCACTCCCATTTGAGGTGGTTATTGATAGACAGTCAGCCTAATGATTTACTGTTTTGCTTCCTCCAGCTTTTGGGCCTGTTTCTGTTCTTTACTTTCTGTGAATCACCTCATCATTTTTTAGCAATTATCTTTGGTTGATTTGTATGAATGGTTTAAAACTTTTCAAAAAATTTTCTTCATGAAATTTCGGTCACACCTGGTGGTACTCAAGGCGTGTCACCCCTGGCTTCGCGCTCAGGGATCATTCCAGCTGGCGCTTGGGGGCCACCACAGAATCAGAAGTCGAACTGGAGTTGGCACACCACGATTTTAAGACTTAACCAAAGCAGATCAAGTTTAACACGCGGGAACTGACACCGAGAAAGACCACGAAGTCTGAGTCTGCGTACGGCTGAGGGTTCTGGTACCTTCTGCTGTCAGATCATTCTTTGTCTCTAACCTGGGGTCCCAGGAACAGTAGGACTCCTACCACACCCGAAAATGATCTACTGCTGTGGAGAGTCACATGGATTCCAGAGCAGAGTGTGAAGAGAAGCATAAGCGTCCTTACTGGCGCCCTCTACAGACTGGATTCTCTGCCGTTTGGAAATCTGAACTGTTCCAACCTTGGTCTAGTCATGAGAAAGAAAGGTTCAAAGTGCAGCAGTCTTTGTGCTTCTGAATTCAGGGTCTGAATTGTCAGAGGGGTCGGGCTGACAGGACAGTGGGGAGGGTGTCTGCCTTGCACAGGGCTGATGCAGCTTTGATCCCCAGGACCCAATACAGTCCCCCCAGTTCTGCCAAGACTGATTCCTGAGTGCAGAGCCAGGAGAAAGTCCTGATCACTGCCGGGCATGTACCCCAAATAAAAAGGTAAAGGTAAAGGCCCTCCCGTTGATCGTCGATTTGCTCGAGCGGGCCCAGTAACGTCTCCATTGGAGACTTTGTTGTTACTGTGTCTGGCATATCGAATACTCTCGGTAGCTTGCCGGGCTCTCCGAGAGGGGCGGAGGAATCGAACTCGTGCTCGCTTCGGCAGCACATATACTAAAATTGGAACCCCAAATAAAAACAAACAAAAAAGCCCATGCAGAATCTGAATCGCCCTGGCAGCCATGTGGCCCCCCATCCTACCAGGAGTAAACCCTGAGGATCACTCCCTACCCCCTGCCTTTTTTTTTTTTTTAACAAACAATACGATCAGATACAGATACAGGGCAGAGAAAGACACAGAGAGAGAGGGAAGAGAGAGATGGGGGGAAAGAGAGAGAGAGAGAAAGAGAGGAGAGAGAGAGAGAGAGAGAGAGAGAGAGACAGTGAGTTCAGGTTAAGGCACTTGCCACACACACGTCACCGTACAATGATCATATCTACAGTTAATGATGTTTGTCTTGGCCACACATAACGGTGCTCAGGGGACCCCGGGGGATGTCAGGGGCTGAACCCAGGTCAGCTGTGTGAAAGGAAAATGCCTCCCTGTTGTACTAATGTTCCTGCCTGATAAATGATAAAGTGTCACTGATAAAAATATTAGCAAAGAACCATCAGTTATTAAAATTATCAGTTCATTAAGTGCTGTTTTCAAGTTCAACAATAATCAAAGTTATTCCATGAAGGGCTTGCACCAAGAGCTTCATGTATACGAAGCTGAAGCATCACACCTCACATGTATGAAGCAGAACCCGTTTTGGGAGCTCAGCCCCCACTGAGCAGCCCAGCATGCTGTGGACCGACTGTTCCTGCCAGCGCGAGGGGTGGGCGCCCCGGGCCCCTCACCCCTTGGCACCCCCATGGGTTTCCAATCAACAGAGGAGGCGTCTTGAGGCCAAGGAAAGTTCTACAAACTTCACACTCAACCGAACATTTTGCCCACGTTTAACGTCAGAGTCTTAAGGGGCTGTGGGCACTGACAGTGTGACTGGCCCTTGTGTATGCAGGTGCACAGAGCGAGGGGAGGCAACGCCACATGCGGACACTGCCGTGTCTGGGAACCAACCTTTGACCCGGACGTCGCTGTACCGCTGGAAGTGGTGGTAGGCAGCTTTCCAGGGGTTCCGGTAGTGACGGAGCAAAGTGATAGGTGGTCTCGGGCGCACTGGGACATACCGCACCCCTTCTTCATCTATTCAAAAGCAAACAAACAAACAACGAGAAGATGGTGACCAGCTCCAAGAGATCTGCAAGGACCCTCCAGCCATGATTCCCGTGAGCTGTAAGTGAAACCTGGGGACCCGACCAAGAGGTTCAGGCAGACTCACGATGGAAATGGTCAAGTCTCAGAGGACCAGCGTTAGCCCGGGGTGGGAGAGTAGCCCAGGGGGGAGGGCACTTGCCTTGCACATGGCCAACCCTAGTTCAATCCTCAGCACCCTTGATGATCCCCCAAATACCATGAGGGGCTCCTGAGTGCAGAGCCAGGAGTAATGCCACAGCACCGCGGGAGTGGCTCAAAATCCCAAAACCAAACAGAAGTCCGCCCCAGGACAATCACCGATATACTCCTTGGGAGGGGACTTGCGCTTCTCCGCCTTCACCAGGAGGCTCTTGGTGGTGGACTTCTCGTCGTCGGTGCTGTTGGTCTCCATCATGTCCCCCTCCTCCGTGGAAATCACGTGCTGCTGCTTCCGAGGCTTTTTCCTTGGGGAGGCACCAGGTGGTAGGTCACTTGTGGGCATCGACAGGTTGTTAGCCAGCAACGCGAGAGACGGAGACACAGTGTTGGTAGCCAGCGGGGGGACGGCTAGCGAGAGGGAAGAGCACACACAGTGAGAACCTGAATCCGCGCACAGCTCACCGGCTCCCACCAAAACAAAGGATGGAGACGGACGGGGAGAGCGAATGTTTACTCCTCCCCAACACTGGGTGTCCTCACCTTCCTCAGTCCACAACCTTCACTTCACATTATTCCCTTTTTTTTGAGTCACACCTTGAGGCCTCGGAGCTTACTCCTGGCTGGGCTCAGGAATCACTCTTGGCAGGCCTTTAGAGATCATATGGGGTGCCGGGAATAAAGCCCAGGTCAGCCACATGCAAGGCAAACCATGCCCAGTGTATTATCTTCCTGGCTCCACTCAGTCACCATTTTTCAAGTCTTTTAGCATAACGTCGTAGAAGATGACCTATTACCACATATATATTTCTTAACATTGAAGCCAGGGGAGATGAACTCTGAGCTTCAAACACGCAAGACTTGTGCTCTCCTTCCTAGTTGTATCACTGGTCTTATGTAATCTAAAAGGTAGTTTGTTAATAGGATCTAATCAGATTTAAGACAAGAAAATGCAGCACAACAAACAACAAAATACAAAGTGGCAGTGTTGGGAGCGGACAGAGGAAACCAGATTTTGAGCTTGCACTTTTTTTTTTTCCGCTTCTGGGACGCCGTTGACTGTGTGGGCTCCACTCCGAGCTGCGCCTGACTTCAGCCCTAGCAGGACTGAGACGGGGGCACAGGGCACAGAAGCCACGCCCTTGGCACAGAGCTAACTCTGCGCCCTGGAGCTCTTCACCACAATTCACCATCTCCAGTACTGACAGAATCTTGTACTGCTCATCTGTCTGGAGGCCTAAGAAATGGTCAGGGAGGGAAGGCCCAGGCTGGATCCCAGCACCAGGGAGAGTGGGGATGGCCAGAGCAGCACCAGGTGCGGCGCCAAATAAAAACACCAAAACACTCTTCTTAAGGATCGCCTCAAATGTTCTCTCACTCCACCTTCAACAACCAGCGACTTGCCTCACGCTCCTCCGCCCTGCATGACCCCAAGGTGCACCACCACCACGCGCAATGTTCACCACCTGACGTATTCACCAAGCCGACCCTGTTCCACCTCACTCTCAGCAAAAGTTCTTAAATGCTTCGAGATTCCTGAAGAAACAGTCCTACTAATCTCTGTGGTCACTCATCCTCCTAATCCCCGCACTGAATTTTGATTCTACTGTCCAACTGGTTATTTTATTCATCGCTCTCTTGATCCTCTGGACTCACCTGGCAAAAGCCTAACAAGCGAAATCCAACTCCAACCTGTGTGCACCTATGAAGCCGGAGGGTAGGTGTGCTGACTTGTGAGTTTCAGAAAGCGTGGGCATCAAGCGTTTGTGGCCAAGAACCATTCTCCTGGCCACAGCAATGTACGAATGGGGGGGTGGGGGGGAGTGGGGGAACTAAGGAACAAACAGGGTGCACGGCTGGCTGGCTGGCAGCCAGCGACTGTGTATTTCCTTCTCACCCCATCCTACAGCTTCATTCTCCTGCAGCCTAGCTGTTTCTTCTTCCTCCTCCTCCTCCTCCTCCTCCTCCTCCTCCTCCTCCTCCTCCTCTATTACACGCAGTCATCTCCCCTTTCCCCCATGACAGTGTCATTATTTTCTTCCTCACAGTTAGATCTCTTTCCTGTGACCGTGCCAAGCTTTCTTCTCGCCCTCCCTCTTCACAGCATAGTTATACAGAGATCATGAAGGGTGGGGTACACATAGGTGGGGGGTGAACACGGTCATAACAACAAACAGAGGTCAAGTCACCCCTTCAGGGGAAGTTCCAGGAGATTAACTCAAGGACAAAAAATCTCATCGGAGGGTTCAGCACTCCAGATTACTAGGAGATCTGCTCAAGGGAGGGATTCCACCCAGGGTGTCTTGCTTTCTCCTTTCCTCAGCTAGTCATCCATTTACATAATCACAGTGAATTTACTCCTTACTAATATTTCTGGCCATTTTGTATAAACACAGTCAGAGATATATGAAACTTAAAGGTTGGCTCTTCCTGGGGACATCTCACTATATATTCCAGACCACAGTCCTCAGGACAGGTTAGTCTTTCCTAACCCCAGCAGGGTCCTTACTCAGTTACTTCTTTTTGGGTCATGACAGACTTTGTCTCCAATGACTGTGCTCTTAACTTATTATGCTTCTTATGGCACTTGGTTTGTCCCTTTCCAATGCCAGGGTAGCTTACAGCTTGCCCTGAGTCCATTCTGGTCCCTTGCTGGGACCCTCCTTTTGGGGTGTTAGGAAGTAAAGGTGACTGAGGCTTAAGTCAAGTAAATATGACAGATGCCCAGGAGTAAAAAATCATTTAGAGTTAATTGACTCTCATGTTACAAAAGCACAGCATCAACTGTCTTCCCGTGTCTTGCTAAAAGGTATTGCTAAACCATGCAAGTGATATAAAGGAAAAGAGAAAAGTAATGTAGGATTATCAGAGCCTGATGGAATTGGATGTGCCTTGGGAGCACTGTTGTGGGAGTAACCCAATAAACCTACTCTCTCTGTGGGAGGAGCACCACTGACTAATCTCAGGAGGACATGTGGCAGCAGGTCTGAGGGCTACTCAGTGGCAGGACCTATCTCAGGCTTCACTCACTGTATGTGTGGGCCTGAAGTTTGACCCTCAAGCACCGAACCACCACAATCAAGTTCCCACTCACGAGATGCTGAAGGCCAATCCCACTCTACCTGCTGAGGCCCCGTGGAGGGGACAGAGAGGTAGTACGAAGGGGAGGGTGTTGGTCTTGCACACAGCTGGCCCAGGCTCGAGGCCTGGCATCTCATGTGGCTTCCCAAGCACTGCCAGGAGTAATTCCTGAGTACAGAGCTGGAGTAACCTCTGAGCATCAAGGGTCTTACCCAAAAAGAACAAACCCCCATTCTCCCGGCAAAAAGCCCCAACAACCCTCGTGGTTATTCACCGCTTTCCTCACCTGAGGCAAACACCTCCCTCACATCCCTGGCCTCTGTCGATGGCCTGTCTTATTTCATCGGGGCGAGGAGGAGGAGGAAGTCAGAACGAATTCCTACCCTCATGCATCGTGACTGAGCATTTTGTCTTTCCTCTCTGCTTTCAGACCCTTCATCCCCACTGCAGATCTGAGTCACCTGGACCTCCTCAGACCCCGTAGCAATCTGCATCTCTCTCTTCTGGCAGCATCAATTCCGGGCCATTACCACCCACACATACAACATATTCGTCCCACCTTAAAAAGCCCCCTTCCTCTTGGCATGGTTCCCCTCCATCGGAACCAACCCAAGCACGGCCGACTCTCGCGGCTCCAGACCCTCTCCCAGGTCCCCCACCCCTCCTCCTCCTCCACCCTGTGAGCTGCCGAGTCAGCAGCAACCAGTCAGCAGCCCGCAGGCCCCATCTTTGTTCTCTTTTGAATCTTATGCTTCACGGTTCACCGTACAAACTTTCTCGGGAGTTGCCCAAAAATACTCACTCCGGTTTTGAGTCTCCCTCCTGGCCTCTGAGTTCCGCGCCCCACACTATGTTCCTTTTCTCAGCCTCCCCTGCCTCTGCTTTCTCTCCCAGTTGGACATGGTGCAATGACCTGGACTCAGTACACAGTGCTCCTGGCACTTACTCCCAAGGTGGTGTTACCTGTCCCATGGTTTCCTACAGACAATCACTGTCCTTTACAGACACATGGGAACTCCCATATTTGTGTCAGCAACTCCCTTCTCTGTTGTTAAGGCAGGCTCTGATCTCCTCCCTCGGAGACCTCCAATTTAACCACATCAGAAACGAAGTTCTTAATCTCTCCCTACAAAATGTGGGTGTTCCCACAGCTTCCCAAACCCTGATTGGCTGCTAGCTCCAGGCTTCCCGTTAGGAGGCCAGAGATGTGGCTGATGGCTGACCCCGATGTCTCTCACACGAACAGTGAAGTCCTCTGCGATCACTTTAGACACGTATCTAGGGACGGGGATCTGACTCAAGTGGCAGAGTAATGCATGGGCCAGCAAGCCTGATACTGCCCGGTTTGACCCAGTGGGCCTCGACTCGCCATAGTGTTGCCCTATCAGGCCAAGCGATGCCAGGAGTGGGGCCTGACTATTTTTTTTTTTAAAGGAACTAATCTAGAGGAGGGGAGGGTACTTGCCTGGCATGCGGCTGACCCGAGTTTGGTCCCTAGCTTCCCATGTGGTCCCCTGAGACCGCCAAGAAGGATCCCTGAGCACAGATGGGTGGGGCCCAAAAGAGAAAGAAAAGTCGGAGTCTTCACAGGGGCCTGTAGGTGCTCCCAAAGGGCTCCCCCCACTCTGGGCCCACCAGGCGCCCCCACCTGGTGCACTCACGCTAGCTAGAGGCTTCCCCTCACGGCTGAGCGCTGTGCAGCCCAGTTCTCTCCACAGCCGCTCCTGCTGCAAAGCCTGGGAGATACACTCAGGCAGCACAGCCGTACGGGGGCTGCATCCAGCCAGAGGGGGTAGTTTTCTTGGTGGAACAGGACTGGGGTAGCTACAGTAAAACCGTTTGACTTCACACTGTGTCTCTGTCTGCATTTTACATATTTTGTGTACTAAACGCTGCTGTTCTAGTTAGGAAAAATAAGATTCCACATTTATTAAAGTTTCCCCAAAACTAGCTTTTCCGTCTAAAGGATTCTCATCACTTATTGTTTTAAAAGGTTACGAAAAGTGCAAGAAATAAACTGGAAACAAGCTGGACTGAGCTATGATCATATCTTGCCCTTTAAAAGGCAGCCAATTATTTTTTAATGTATGAGCCTACTTTATTAAATATTTCATACACTTCACCATTCATACTTAGTAAACATTAACATCCATCCTACTAAACCAAACTTCCTGCTTTGTTAAAAGTTATGATTTAACTTCTGAGTAGGTATTTGAATTGGGTACTGAAAGATGAATGAAAATTTTCCTGAAAAATGAGGGGAAAATATCGGTGATTGAAAAGAACAGCAGTAATTTATAAATAAACTCTAAGCTGCTATCTTTCCTTATTCTTGGTGAGGGCAGAGAAATAGTCCAGAACCAATGTTGAGTTCTGAATATCAATGCTGTGCATCCCCTAAAATGAATATTTTTGAGGAAGTAACCTTTTTCAAGGATCATGATAAAAATTGTAAAAGGCTAAGCAAAATGATTTGTTTCCAAAAGCTGTTTGATATTTTCTTCCTTTATAATAATAAAACACGGCCAGGAAGATAGCACAGGGGGCAAGGCCCCTGCCTTGCACACGGCCAACTCTGGGCTCGATCCCTGGCACTGCACATTGTCCCGAGCACTGCCAGAAAGGATCCCTGAGCACAGCACGGTGTGGTCCCAAACCACACAAAATGAGAAGAGGAAGGAAATGTCAATTTCAAATGGACATCAAGAGACTGGGCTTCCTGGGTCAAACAAGAGTCAAACAAGAGTTGGGATAGTGAGGGGTGTTAGAGAGGGAAGAAGTGGGGCAGAGCCATACACAGCACAGTGGGGGGAGGGGGCTCATCTTGCAGTGGCTGATGTGGGTTCAATCACCCGCCACCCAGAGCCCCCCAGCACGCAGGACTGATTCCTTCCTGAGTGCAGAGCCAGGAGGAACCCCTGAGCATTGGCGGGTGTGGCCAAAAACTAGAACCAAAACCAAAGAAAATAACAACAACCAAACCCAACAAAGTGGGGGTGGGGAGAGAAAAAGCAGCAAAAGTTCAGAGTTTCCCGTGAGGAGGGAGACGATTACCGATGATTCCACCCTTCTCTGAAGGGAAGGAAAAGAAAGCAACCATGGAAGAAACAGCCCAGAGGAAACACAAACCCTGACACCTGAGCACCACAACGAGCCCAGGGGGGATGAGGAGTTGGGGGCCAGGACCTGGGCCGGGCCGAGTGCAGCGACCTGCCCTCCGCCCTGACCCCAGCCCCACAGCCGCCCACGCTAGCAGGACTCGGCCAGGGGGGACTCACCGGATACTGGCCTCATGATGTCCATGGGCTCCACTTCCTCCTTCACTTTGATCTCAGGCACGGGGGGGCCCAGCACAGAGGAGAGGCTGCCCCCCACGGCCACGGAGGGCGGGGGCGCAGCCGCCATGGTGGTGATGGGCGGCGTGATGGGCACGGCTCCGGGGAGGGTGGACAGGGCGGCGGCGGGCTGCGACGGGGGGCTGGCGGCGGCGATCATGGCGGGAATGGCGGGCGGCGGCTGGGGGGTCGCAGGGGGCACTGCGATGCTGGGCTGGTCGCTGTTCTGGCTGGACACATTTTCCAAGGACACAGGGATCGGAGCAGCCATGGACACGTGCATCTCTGATTTGGGTTTGGCACTGAAACAAAAGCGAGAGATAGGAAACAGCCTGAACCCGTATCTCAAAGACGGAGCTTCTGTCTTTTATTTCTTGGGGGGGGGGGGGGAGCGGGGCAGGGGGAGAGTTCAACGGAAACACTGTTCCTCAAGAAAAGAAATTTCGAGCTCTAAACAGTGCCCTTTCTGGAGCCAGAGCCATAGTAGAGTGGACAGGACACTGCCTTGCCCTGAGCTTCTCCCAGATGTTGCTACTCACAAGGGACATACTTTCCTGCCCCCCCCCCCCCCTTTTAAGCTTCAAGGTCACACCTGGTGATGCTCAGGAATTACACCTGGCAGGGGCTCTCAGATGTGGGGGATTGACTGTATCGTCATCCCAGCTCGCCAAGGAACATACTTTTGTACTTAACAATCTCGCCTTTGCAAGCTTCTTCCTAGCGCTGAACAGGTGCTGCTTTATTTTTAGAAACTTAAGGCAGGAATGTGGCTGACTAGTACCTCACTTGCCTTCCATGTATGAGGCCCTGCATCTGCTTTCCGCCGTGCAGGGGTGTAGGGGAAGGTACTTCGCATTGGTATTGGTACTGACAGTAGTCAAGATCTGGAAATAACCCAGATGCCCAGTGATAGATTAGCAGATTTAAAACAACAACAACAACAACAACAAGTGTTATTTGGGCCAAACATACAGTACAGTGAGGAGAGTGCCGGCCTTGTATACGGCTGACCTGGGTTTGATCCCTGGCCATCCCATATGTCCCCAGAGCTCATCACGAATAAGCCCTGAGCAGAGAGACAGGAATAAGCCCTGAGCATATCTGATATAGCCTCAAGAAACAAATCCAAAACCCCCCCACCCCCCAAAACCAAGAAACAATGGCTTATTATACACAACGGACCACCAGGCTATGATGAAAGTTGAAATCCTGACTTCTGTACAATGTGATGGACCAGAGGGTGTCATGTTAAGGTAAGCTAGAAGGAAAGTCTGGATGACTTCCCCGACAGGTGGCACTTAAAGGCTTCGAATCAAACACTTTCTCTACGGCACTCAGAAGGGTGGACAAAAAGTGGTAAGACAGCAGTGGAGGGTTTTGGGGCCGACGGTGGGGGGAGACGCAGGAATTCTACACACCCAGAGCACGACACTGACTCCACTGCACACCATCTGCTTCAGTAACGTAAAAGATTAAAAAAAAAAAGAAACAATAATAAAAGAATATGATATCAGTAAAACTGAGTATGTAACTTTGGCAAGAATGTGGAGGAAACAGGATGACAAATTCCACGTGGGCCTAAGCCAATAGTGGTGGGAAACCAAACTGCACCTCTGACCAGCGCTGTCCCAGCCTCTCTGGGACTGTTTCTGGAAGGGCTCAGAAAGAACGCAGGGATTCGCTGCAATGCTGCTTATTACACTGAGATATGGAAGTGATTCTTCACTAGCTGGGGAGCAGCTCCGGCACCAACCCCAGCCTGGCAACAGCCTAGTGGTCTGTCTGGGCTGCCATTTTCCTGACCTCTGGCGATGGCCTACCCAGGCCTGCTCTCCACCCCGTCTATGACCACTCACGCTCACTCTCAGTGGGATGCGATTGCTTTCATTTTCTGTGCTGGAGAAAATGACCATTTGTGATTCCCAACCCTTGGACAATAGTTGGTCCCTCTATCTTCTTGTCACATTCTTTGGTGTTTGTTTTCTGGGCCACACCTGACAGTGCTCAGGGGATGATATGGGATGCCAGGGATGGAATCCAGTGTTCATGCAAGGTGAACACCGACCTACTATGCTACCGCTCAAGCCCACAACCCCCGATTTTTATATTCAACGATGCACTTGACATGTCCACCTAGGAGAGTCTAATAATCTGGCTAGTCAAAGGTAAAACGAAGACCATCGAAGGCAATGTTTTCTGCTATTTGCATAGGCGTAGTTACAGAGAGAGTAACTCCTTGCCCGGCTGCTCAATCAAACTTGTTACCTCTCCTCCACAGCTCTGCTTCTCTCCAGTTCAGGAAAGGTGTTCGCTGAACCTTCCCAATTCAGAATCTGAGCCCATCCTGGCCTCCCCCTGTTGTGGGGGTGTGACCGTCAAAGCTGCACGGCCCTGCGGGTCCTGAGGAGTGTGTCTTCGCTCACTGGGGGAATCTCTTTCTTCTCTGACCCGGCAATTGCTTGAAAGCAGGTTGCTCAGGATCCCCATCTCCTCTGACCTCGGAGCAGCTCTCCTGGCACAGCTCCTGAGCCCTCGAAAATGTCCGCCTGTGCCAAATTCACCCCAGCCCCCCCGCAGGGAGGAGCACGTCCCCACTGCTGAGAGACCCGCCAAGACGCTCAGGTGTCTCAGCAGTGCCGCAGCCCCAGGCCCAAGCCGGCACCATGTTCAGGGACCGCGACACAGCAGGGGAGTTTGCGGGGGCTGAAATGGAGCAGAACATGGAGCCGCACCACTGCTGAGGCCGGACCCGTGCCGGGACCACAGCTCTTTCCCATCTTTCCACACTCCGGGTGTGGCCCCTCAGGAGGCTGCTGTCATGGCCTTCCTCCTCCTCCTCCTCACAGGGAGGGAGCCAGGCACAGCTCCCTCGGCTGTTTCTCCCGTGTCTCTTCTGCCCTGTTACGGTCACCTTCTGGAACTCCCCAGGCTGCCTGGGGAAAACAGTTGGCCCAGAGTTTGACAGAGGGAAGACAAATACTGTACCAGTAAGAAAAAGAAAGAAAAGTAGGGAGTTCAGTTTCTGAATGTCAGTGCTTTCCATGTCTTTTTTTTTCTCTTTCTGTTTGATTTCTACTTTGGTGGCAGTGTAGTTTGATACAGTTCCACTTTCATTCAAACTGTGCCCTGCTCCATGGACTGGCAGCAGGACAGCCTATGACTGCTGGAGAGGACGCAGGGTCTGGCACATACCTACTGACCCCAATCCTTCCAGCTCTTGTTTCAGTTCCTGCTGCCTGTCGGGTCCTGGCGGGCAGGGCCAGAGCCTCTGGAAATCACCCTGGACCTGTAAGCAATGCCCACCCTTCCTGACCATTGCTCTGCCCCCATGCTATCGGTCTGACGTAGACAAGTCCACCGTCAGTCTCCAGATTGTTTCTGTCTGAGCGTGTTGTTCAACCATGTCCCTTCTAGGCAGCAGACTCTGATTTGTCTCCTGATCCACATGGTCACTCTGTGCCTCTGACAGAGAATTGACATCTGAAGAAATTATTGACAGGTCGGGGTCTGCTGACGTTTCTATGGGATGCCGGCTGCTTTGTCATTTGCTCTTTGTAAGAGGCCATTAAGCATTCCTCAAACAACTGGTTTAGAGGCAACAAATGTTTAGGCTTTTTGTTCCAGAATGTTTCTTTCACTCCCTCAGATGTAAGTGAAGACCCCACAGAGAATACTTGGCTGGATTCTTTCCGTTCAGCATTTCAGTGATGTTCTACCCCCTTCCTGCTTATGATCTGAGAACTCGGACGAGAATTTTCTGTTATTTCTCTTGCTTGAGGGATTCTTTCCTGCTGTTTTAAGGAGCTTCTCTCTGATTCTTGCCATTCTGATTACAATGTGTCTTGGTGTTGTTCTGTTTGAGTTCATCTTGTTCTTCCGGACTAGTACACAAGCTCTCACCCTCAACCTGGAGAAGCCTGAAGCAATCCTCTCTGCCAGCCAGCCACTCTCTTCCTTTCTCTCTTTGCTCCCTTTCTGGAGTTCCTAACATGCACAGGTGGATCCTCCGTATTAGAATTGCTTTTTGCTTTGTGGACCACACCCGGTGGTGATCAGGGCTTACTCCTCGCTCTGCACCCAGGGGTCACTCCTGGTGAGTTTGGGGGACCCTATGGGGTGCCAGGGGTTGAACCCGGGGACTTCCTGAGTCAGCCACATGCAAAGTGAGGGCTCTACCTGCTGTACTATCTCTCTGGCCCTAAATACTGTTCATTTTTTTGGGGGGGAGGGGTCACGCCCGGCGATATTCAGGGGTTAGTCCTGGCTCTGCACTCAGGAATTATTCCTGGCGGTACTTGGGGGAACTATATGGGATGCTGGGAATCGAATTCGGGTTGGCTGCGTGTAAGGCAAACGCCATACTCGCTGTGCTATTACTTCAGCCCTCTGGCTCTAAACATTACCAAACATTTCTTCTTATATATTATCATTGTAGCACTGTCCTCCTGCTGTTCCATCGATTTGCTCGAGCATGCACCAGTAACGTCTCACAACAAACAGGGAGACTTGTTGTTACTGTTTTTGGCATATCGAATACTCAAGGGTAGCTTGCCAGGCTTTGCCGTTCGGGCAAGATACTCTTGGTAGCTTGCCGGGCTTTCCGAGAGGGGCGGAGGAATCGAACCCGGGTCGGCTGCATGCAAGGCAAACACCCTACCTGCTGTGCTATTGCTCCAGCTCATGTATTATCACATAAATTTAAATGTTTAAGAAACTGCTTTCCAGTGCCTTCTCCGCTGCCCGCACCAATGTGGCTGCACGCTCACCCTCGGGCCTCTTCCGTCTCAGAGGTCAGCCCACGTCTTCCCTCTCCTCGTTCTTGCCTCAGCACGTCATGGTGCTCTACGGACACTGCCACATGACTCGTTTGCTTTTAGGCCTCTCTCTTTCTGCTAAGTCCCGCTACTCTACTCCTCAGCTTATTTTTGTCTGGATGTGTTCTATTTTTTTCACTCAATCTCTCTTTGGATTAATTAATCCCCCCAGTGATTTCCTCAGTTCACTGACCCTCCAAAACTGTTGCTCTTAAGTCCCACTCAGGCAGGGTCTAATCCTGAAGTCATGAGGGCTCTTTGGGCTTCGATCCCATCCACTGAGATGGGTTCCATGATTCTTTTCATTCTTCCTACTTCCTTGGGAAGCTAAGGGTGCAGCTCTGGGAACCAGACAACTGAGTCGCGATGCAGTGTTCCTGTGCGGTTACCAGGATGGTTCTGTGACTCAAGAGATAGCTGGCAGCCACAGACGTCTGTTGAGGAATTCTTCTATCTGGCAGAGAGGAGTCACCCCTGGCAATGCTCAAGGCTTCCTCCCAGCTCTGCACTCAGGGAATTATACGGAATAACTAGTCTAAATCCACTGGCCATGCACAAAGCAAGTGCCCTACCCACTGCACTAACCCTTCTAAGGGTTTCTTAAATGCGTGCAAGAACCGATGCGTGTGTGTGGCTCTGCTCTGACAAGTGCACCTGAATCCTACAGGTGATGAGCAGCACAGGCTCTAGCACAAGCTCACAGGCGCGGGTCCATAGACACTGAAGCGGGGTCACAGTTCATGGGCCTGGCCTCTGACCGCAGGCCATGAGGCTGGCTGCGCTGAGAGGTGGGCGCACAGGGCTCACTCTGGGAGACAGTTGTCCCCGTGGCCACAGGGCCAGGCCTCCCCTCCTCCTACCAGACACAGCAAGCACGGCGGCGGACGGAACACAGGCACCTGATGTCCTGACTTGAAGATAAAGCCTGGTGTGCCGTGGCAGCTGGGCCATACAGGGGGGCCAAGGTTGTCACTGCAGGTGGGACCATGGCTACGTGCCTGCCGGGGCAGCTAAGGCTGCAGTTCCTCTGGGTGGCTCAAGGGCCTGACCCCTCGACTCGGGGACTCAGCGCGTCTGTGGTGCTACCAAGAGTGGTGGGAAGGTGTGTATGCTCACCCTGCAGGCCTGGGCGACCCGGACGTGCTCCGCATGGAGCTCTCCACGCGAGGACTGGCCACTTCAGGAGGCTGCGGGGGAATGAGGGTTTTCCGGACTGCCATTCTGAAAGAGACAAAGCGAGAAAACACGTCTGAAGGCATCATGGAAGGAAGGGAAAGAGCCATGCTGGCGAGGCACCCAACTGCCACGGAAAACTGCAGAAGAGTGAGCTGGTTTTCTGGGTGCTGGGAGAGAGACCCTGGGGTGCGGGGACAGGAACCTAACACTCACGCATTTCCCTCCATTCACCTCAGCTATTTCCCACTGTCTCTGAAGGTATTTTTTAATGGACTAAAATGCCAGCTTCTGGCTTTCCACTGGGGGCTCCCTTCAGCCCAGTGGCGCTCAGGAGACTGTGGTGACTGGGACAGAGCCCGGCCCCTGCACTCAGAGCACGTGAGCCCTAGAGTTACCTTCCCAACCCAGGGTTCCAGAACTGGAGCAAAGTGATGTGAACAGGGAAGTTGAAAGGCACCCTTTCCAGCCCCGTGCTCCACCAGGAGTCACCCTGGACCCTGAAGGACTCCCAAACAGAACCACGCAGGCCGTTCCTCGTCCTGTCACCTCCTGTCCACCTCCCACTGGGACCTGCTTCTTGTCGTTCCCTTCCACATAATGTTCAAGCTTAAGTTCCAGAGTTTATGACATCTATGATATGCATGCGTTTATACTCTGAGCGAGTTTGAAGGAACAATGAAAATAAAACACAACTAGTAAAGGTTGTTAGTAACCCACTGTACAAGGCGACAGAGGCCCTCGTTATCAAGCCAGGGCTAATCAGGCCAACGATGAGGAAATGGCGGGGGTCGTTATAGTTTCAGTTTTGCCTTGTTTTGGGGAGACCACATCTTGGTGCTTAGGGGACTGTGTGGTTTAGGTGATCAAGCCCCGTGCTCCCGTATACAAAGCCAACACTAGTCTGCGGAGCATCTCCCTGGTTCCGACTGTGGGTCAGAATACAGAGTGGGAGCAAACAGAAAGGAGAGGGAGGCAAGAGCATACGGCTCGTCCTGTGACAAACAATCTCACAGTGCTCAGGATATACTGGCTGCAGGTATCAGCTGTACAACTGCTAACAGCTCATCCAGGTTTAACTCCAGACATTATGCCACCTAGTAATAGATGGTCTTTTTTCCTTTTCTTTTCTTTTTGGGTCACACCCAGCGATGCCCACAAGCAATATAAAATGAATTATTGTGGGTCTGCTACAGGGGCAGGCTTGAGGGTTGGTGGGACAACAAAGACAATGGTGGAAGGAAGGTGACAGTGGTGGTGGGATTGGTGTTGGAATATTCGCGCCTGTTAACAACCACAAACCATTTTGTAAACCATGATGTTTAAATAAGGTGGGAGAGTGGGTGGGGGGGTAGGAGGATGGGGAAGACTGAGGCAAAGAGTGGCCTGACAAGAAAAAGAAACAAGAGATCAAAGGAATGCAAATTGGAAAAGCGGATGTCAAATGACCACTGTTGCAGATGACGTGGTAATATACACAAAAGATCCTAGAGAGTCCACGAAAAAGCTCCTAGAGGGGTCAGAGTGACAATACAGTGGGCAGGGCATTTGCGATGCAACTGACCAACCCAAATTCAATCTCCGACATCCCTTTTAGGCCCCCAAACACTGCCATGAATAAATCTGTAATTCCTCAGTGCAGAACCAGGAGTAACCTCTGAGCATCGTGAGGTGTAGTTCAAGAAAACAAAACAAAGGCTCCTGGAAATAATCAATACTGCAAAATGGCTGACGACAAAGTCAACACACAAAAATCTGCGCGTTTCTATATAGAAAGAATAAGTGAGAGGAAAAGGGGATCAAGGAGTCTATTCCATAGAAAGCAGTATCCAAAAACACTGACTAGCTAGTAATCAACAACAAAAGAAGTGGAAGATCTATAACATGAAACTTTAAAAAACATTCAAGAAATAACTTAGGAAATGGAAAAATATTCCATGCCTATGGATAGAGGAATAAATATTTTCAAAACGACCATTCTATCTAAACTACTATATGGACTCAGTGCAAGAAAAGTCGGATGACATTCTCCAAGCTCTTCGAAAAACAGGCAATAAAATTTGTATGGAATCAAACCAAACAGCCAAAACCATACTAAAAAATAAGGAACAGGGAGGGATCTCATCCCTTACTTGAAGCTATACTATAAAGCCATAGAGATCAAAACTGCTTCGTAATGGAAAAAGATTTTGTTTTGTTTTGTTTTTTTTGGGCCACACCTGGTGATGCTCAGAGATCTATCTTCGCTCTGAACTGAAGAATTACTCAGAGCAGTGCTTGGGGGACCGTCCGGGATGCTGAGCGTAAGGTGAGCACCCTACCTCCTGTACTATCGCTCCAGCCCGTAGGACAGAATCTCTGACCAATGAGTCAGAACAGAACATGCAAGGACAAACCCCCCATATATGGTCAGCAAATTTTTCACCAAGGAGCCGAGAGCATGAAATGGAGTGAAGACATTCTCTTCAATTAATGGCAGTGGAACCAACCCAGGTGTTTAATGGCAGATGAGTGGATTGTGCAGATGTCATGGTCTACACTGTGGAACACTTGCAGTTGCAGGGAAGGAGGAAGTCATGCACTTTGCTGCAGCTGGGACAGAACTGGATGTGTTGAGTGTAGTAAGCCAGAAGAACAGACAGGATGACCTCATTTATCTGTGGCCTACAGAAACACTGGATGAATGGACTGCAGTAAGGGGAGATGCTCAGCTCACCACCACTGGCCCCAAAGTCTGAGAAGGAGGGCAGAGAAAAAATTTAATTGAGGGGAAAAGAAAGAAGAGGCACATGGGAGGCAGGAGGGGGCCGAGGTCCAGGCCCTGGGGTCCATGTGGCGTAGAGCAGTGGGACGGCTAATACTTAAACTCAGGTCTGTTCCGATGCCTTGGGGGTGGGGACACTGGGGTCAACACCTCGACCTGCTCATAGCTACCCCATGTTCTGCTGCGCTCCAGTGTCCCCCAGTAGTATCCAGGGAACCAAATGCAGTGAATGCGCATCATGACAGGTGTGGGCCTTGACACCTGAACTACCACACAACACCCACACTAAAACTCTTAAGAGGGCTACGAATTCATCATAAAGGGTTCCTTATCAGATACTGATCCAAACTAAATCTGAGACATGTAAGACCTGATCATGTAAAAATGGCTAAATATCTGACAATATTATGGCATTATTAATTTTTTCTAAATTATGTGTAGCTCAACAGACACAGGCTGATGAAATAGACATGAATGATCTGATGAACTGTTAGGGGCCAGCCTCAGTACATGTTGGAAGGGGTGGATACGCATATAAATGAAACTTGGTCGCAAGCTAGATGCTGATAAAGTTGGATAAACATATATGTTCATATTGCAATTTTTTTGTTCAAACATTTGCATAATAAAACCAAAAAAGAACAAAACCACTAGTGAATTCTCAAACCTGACGAACACGAACGAACTACACTGCTGTAAAGCCAGAGAAGGACAAACTGAAAGAACTAAAATGGGAACAAGTTCTGGTGATGAACCAAGTGTTGGGGAGCACAGGTGGGGCCCGTGCTCGGGACGGCGCTCACTGCCCGGGAGAGCCAAGTGGGCGCGGCCACAGCCACAAGCCGCCTCTGGCACTAGAGAAGCACTTGCGCAGGTCTCAGAAGGCAAGTGGAGAACAGCCCTGTCCAGGGGATGCGCTGCTCAGGGTCTGGGATTTGCCTGCTTGGTTCCCGTCTCCCCTCTTTATCTTCACTGCATCCCCACCGGGATTTCCAGCACAGCCCACCAGGAAACCTCTGGCCCTTTGGCTGTCTGGTCATGGTCAGGCGTGGGGGGCTGACTAGTACGGGAGAGTCGAGCTCGTGGGGCTAGGCCGGGGCATGGCCAACGCCTCACAGAGGAGACCCTGGGCACTACAGCAGCAGCCCCCTGACACAGGTACGGCCCCCGACAACCCGAGCTACGGAGGGCTCCTCTACCTTCTCACGTGGTGGTGAGGAGCAGGCGGAGAGCCCGGTAGGGCCTCCGGGACCGCCCTGCTCAGTGCTCGCCACACAGCAGTGGAACCGCGCCGGCTCTCTGCCAAAGCCTCCATCACGGTTTACTGCAGGCTGGGCCGACTCATTCTCAGGAGGTGTCTGATACCTGTCCCGGGGCATACAGACGTCATAGGAAACAAAGGTGCCAGGATGTTTGTGAGAAGGGAGGCTGGCAGGGGGCAGGCTCCTGTGCTTCCACGGTGTGGGCCGGCCCACAGAAGCATGTGGGATCTGAACTCCCGGCACTTGCCAGAGTGCGTGAAAGGGGCAGTGTACCCAAGGCCTTGACCCCACTGCAGATACATTTTTGCCTGGTTCCTGTCATCCCCTGTTCTTCTTGGTCCTTCTCAAGATGCCGCGATTTAAACGAGGGTGGTTCTAGATGGCTTCTGTGCACTTCCTGCTCAGCTTTCTTTCCTTTCTTTTCCCTCCCCCTTTCCTTTTTTGGTGGGGGGAGGGAGCCGGGGAGAGCAATGCCTGGCAATGCTCAGGGAATACAGGTAGGCCAGCACACCCGACTGCCTGTGCCATCCCCTCCCTGTAGTGTTCAGAACTGCCCACACAGCAGGCCATGCCGGCCCGGCCTCTGCTGCTGCCGCTCAGCCTCCCGCCTCTACTCCGATCTCATGCTCACGGTCTTCTAAGTCCTCTCACTCAACTCGTCTCCTGTTTGGGGCCCACCCCCGGGATGCTCTGGGACTGCACAGCGCAGGTGGCAGAAGCCAGGCCCAGCATGCAGAGCACATGCTAGGTCTGACGAGTGCTTTCTTCACCTGCTGTGGCTGATCTGGGATCTGAGGTGCCTACTGTCTTTGACTTCTTTTGTCGTTTGGGCTATAGTCAGCAGCAATCGGGTGTTGTTTCGAGTTCTGTGTTCAGAGGCTGATCGGCCCTGGTGCCAAAGTGCAAATCTGAGCCTCCCACAGGCTCAGCCCGTGAAGGTATCTTCCCAGCGAGGAAGTTGTGGTACGTAACTGCACGCTTTATGCTTTATTAATCAAGGTTATTTACCATGGATGAATTTATTCTCGAAGGAGAAAGAGCTGGTCTTGGCAAAGCCTCAACAGACCTGACAATTCCACGCTGACCCGGAATCTAAGTCCTTGCTATGCTCTCATTTGATCTTGATGCCACAAGGTCAGCTGTCTCAGACACAGCACCCACTAAAGCATGTACTCCTAAACAACCCTACAGCCACGGTACTTTGGAGAAACTTAGAAATGCCAGAGAAGACGAGGAAAAGAGCCTGTTGGCAGCCCTGAAGCCGTGCCTGGGGTTTTTCTGACTCTCCAGAACCAGGCGCCACTGGCACACTGGGCCCACTCACCCGTCCGTGGCCGGTTTCTTCCGGAGGATGCTGGGGCGAGGGGATGAGCCCTGGGGCGGCGCGCTGCTGCTGGCACTCTGGCTGTGGGTCTGCACCACGGTGGTCGCTGCTGGGGCGGCACTGAACGGACTGCTAATGGGGTTGGCGACGATTGTGGCTCCGTCAGCCAAGACCACTGTGAGGAAAAAAGAGAGGAGTAGTGAGAACATGGGGAAGAGGAAACAGAGATCACGCTACTGACCTGCCACTTAAGACACAGGTGAAAAGGATCAGAGCACGAGGAAGAGTGTCTACACTGACTGTTCAATCCAAAGACGAGGGACAGGAGCGCTATGTCCAGGCGGCTAAGGACAGTGAAGGGGGACAGGGCCGGAGCACGCCGACATATAAGCAAGTCACGCAATTCCCTTTGTCTTGCATTCATGATTACTAAGAAAGGAGACTTAAAACACATACTTTATTTCAAAAATATGTTCTACAAAGTATAACTGACCCTCAATTCCTAATGCTATCAACACCTCCTACCTATTTCAATTTCACAACTGTTTCTGAGCAAAGTACTCAGAACTGACTTCTGGCCTTGCACTCAGGGATGACTCCTGGCTGGGGCTCAGGGGACCAAGCTGGATACTGGGGATAGAACCTGGGTCGGCTGTGTGATAGGCAAGTGCTGTATCCTCTGTACTTACCTCTCTAGCTCAATTTTGATGGCTTTTACACAAGAACTAAGAGAATCTTCAGCCTGCTCTTCAAGACTGCGTTCTTTCTTGAACGTGCGTCTCGTGTGCTTGTGTTTCTCTGTCTGCTTGCTTTCCACTCAGGAGAAGTCTGTGTTCTCTACTGAACATGTACCTCCCCCTCATACCTTTCTACATACATTTCCATAAAGACTATCTTGCCTCACCAGATTAAAAGTCTTCAAGAGAATGAAAACACTGCCAGTATTAGGCGAGTTTACAACAAGAGTTCTTTATATAATGCCTTTCCACCATGCGCAATTGCATTTTAGAATATTTCCGTACGTAAAGTTTTTTTTTTTTCTCTTTGTTTTTTGGCCCACGCAGCAGCACTGAGCACTTATTCCAGGGACTATGTTCAGGGGTCACTCCTGGCGGTGTCGGGGGAACCACACATAGTGCTGAGGACTGAACTTGGGTTGGTCAACTGCAAGGCAAGCATCCTCCCTGCTGTCCTCTCTGTGGCCCTAAGTCTGACAAGAATGTGACGTGAAATGCCAGCACGCTCCACAGAGGAAACTAAGGTCTAGTGGGATGACCCGAGACCAGTGAGAAGATACAGGCCTTCTCTCTCTTCCACATCAACTACAAGATTACCTGAAGTCTTGCCCTCAGATGGGGGTGGCTGAGTGCCCAGCGGTGCGGGCTGGAGTCCTTGGGTGCTGATTGGGGTGGCGGAGTGGATCCCCTGCGTGCCGATAGGCGCCGGCTGGATGCCCGGGGTGCCAATGGGGGCTGGCTGGATCCCCTGTGTGCTGATGGGCGCTGGCTGGATCCCCTGGATGTGCCGAGCGTGAGATGCGTCCACAGTCATCAACTGCATGGGGTTGAGGTGGACCGTGGATGCCACCCCGACGCCAGTCTGAGCGGTGATGGCGGAGTTGGGAGCCTGAGCGGAAACTGCACAAAAAGAGGAGGAGTCAGTGGCCTCGACGGTTCACAAGCAGAAACCTAAAGGAAGCGACTTTTCATGCTGCAGCTGGAACTCACCGCTTCAGAAAGAACGGGGGCCGGAAATCCAACATGAGACTAACCTCAGTTTGATTCCAGCCACCACAGAGTGCCACGAGCCTGGCTGGGACTTGTCTCGGAGGCCCCCAGCACCACAAAGCTGGCCCAGGTGTCTTAGTGCCACAGGCCCAGCAGCAGGGCCTCACGTGAACCCAAGCAAAGAAGTAGAGTAACTAAATCCATACTAGACATAATCAATGATCAATTTCTTTTCTATTTTCAGTGGGCGATGGGGAGGGATTTGGGCCACTCCAGGCAGTCCTCAAGGGTTACTCCCAGCTGTACAGTCAGGGCTCACTCCTGGTTGGCTCAGGGGACCACACGGAGTGTAGGAGACCAATCCCTCTACACTCAGACTGAACCTGGGCCTGCCACATTATCGCCCTGGCCCCTCAATGACCAACTTCTACCTCACTGCTTGAAAACCTGGGGTAAGAGAGACAGGTGCTTGCTTGCCTCATACGCATCCAATCAGGTTCCATCCCTAGATGACAAACAGGTCCCTGAGCCCTGTCGGGAGTGACCCCTGAGTGCAGATACAGGGGTGAGCCTGAAGAACTGTTGGCTGTCAGCCCAAAATAAAATGAAAAATTAACGATCATCTTAACCAGGGGTGAAGGGCGTCCCTTTGGGTTCCAGCTCCCTGAGCCGGAGGAGTGTCCTTGCTACTCTGTCATTTCCTTAGAATACTTAAGAAAATAAACCAGAAACCCACTCCCCACAGGATGCCGATACCTGGGTATTGCCGGATGGTGGACACAGAGCTGGTGATCGGGGTGTACGTGTGCGCGGCCAGCGGGTACGCAGAGGGTGGGTACGTTGGCAGAAAGTACTGGAACTGAACAGGAACAGACGGTCTGGGAAGGGAAGAGAGACGACAGGTTTTTCTTCTTTAATTCTTCAAATTATCTCGTCCCCCAGACCCTCCATAAACATGTCAGTCACAGAAAATTCTCGCAATTGTTACCCAAAGTGTAAGAACACACACCTAGAGATGAGCACTTTCTCAGAGAGTGAGCACTGTACAACGAGCAGGGAGCCTACCATGCATGCAGCTGATCCATGCTCAATCCCAGCACCCCACATGTGCCCTAGAGTCCACCAAGAGTGACCCCTGAGTGCAGGGTCAGGAGCAAGCCCTGAGCACGCACTGCCAGGTGTGGCCCCAAAACAAAACCAAACAAAGAAGGTGGGTATACTATAAACAGCTACATCAAATGCAGACATATTTAAGATGATTACCAAAGCTGGTAATAAAGTTACCAGTGATCAGTGGCCACTTGCAGGACAAGCCCCTTAGCCACTGTGCTGTCACACTCAACTGTGTGTGTGTGTAAAGTTCTCCAGTGATCAGTTCTACTTGAAAGACTCTAAGTTCAGATTGTTTTACTGGTAAATTCTATTGAACAAACAAAAAAGAAAAATACCCAAACGTCTGCCCTACTGCTGTGATAGCACAGTGGTAGGGCGTTTGCCTTGCGCGCAGCCAGTCTGGCCGAGCCAGGTTCGATTCCTCTGCCCCTCTTGGAGAGCCCGGCAATCTACCGAGAGTATCTTGCCCGCACGGCAGAGCCTGGCAAGCTACCCGTGACGTATTCAATATGCCAAACACAGTAACAACAAGACTCAAAATGGAGATGTTACTGGGCCCGCTCGAGCAAATCGATGAACAACGGTAGGACCCAAACGTCTACAAACTAATCCAGAGACCCAAAAAGGAAGATATTTCACTTATTGTGAGTTTAATATACTTTGGTTATAAACAGATTTCACTATCACTGATGCAAAAACTCCCATGCAAAGTAGGATTAAGTGCCATCTCAAAAATACACCAGGATCAAACAAGGCTCATCACAGTAAAGTAGAAATAATTAAACATCAGAATTCCTATCATTATTATGAATATCTATGACATTTAAAGTGGGGCCTGGAGACCAAGAACAACCAGTGCTGGCACAGATGAAGGGAAAAAGGAACACTCTTTCACTGCTGGTGGGAATGCTGATGGATCCTGCCTTTCTATAAAACAATATGGGCATTCCTCAAAAAACTAGAAATTGAGCTTGCATATGACTCAGCAATACTATTCCTAGGAATACACCCTAGGGCCCAAAAAACAATGCAGAAAAGTCACCTGCATGCCTCTTTTCCTTGCAGCACTATTCAAAACAGCCAGAATCTGGAAACAATCCAAGTGCCTGAGAACAGACAACTGGATAAAGAAACTATGGTATAGGTATATCTACACAATGGAATACTACACAGCCATTAAGAAAAACAATGAGGAATAAACAGGGTGATTGCACTCATTTGTGAGATATAAAAAACATAGTATGAGACTAATATCTAAGGACAGAAGAAAAAGGGGTTAGGACCGATAGGAAGCTTGCCACAAGTGTGTATGTGTGTGTGTGTGGGGGGGGGGGACCTGGGGAGCAGTTAGGACAGAGAAGGAACCATGATGCAAAGACAGTTGGAAGTGATCGCTCTGAAAAAAACGAGACGGGGGGGGGGGGCCCCCGCGGGGGGAGAGACACACACAAGAGACAGAGATAGAGACAGAGACACAGACTGCCAGAGGCAGCTTGGGGATGGTGGTGGGCGTGAGGGGAACCCGGCAACTGATGGTGGGAAATGTACACTGGTGGGGGGGAGGGGTGCTGGAACATTTTATCACTGAAACTGAATCCTGAACCACTTTGTAATTGTGTATTTAGTGGTGATTAAATTTTAAAAGGTAAAGGTAAAGGTAAAGGCCCTCCCGTTGATCGTCGATTTGCTCGAGCGGGCCCAGTAACGTATTAACAAAAAACTCACAAAAGTGATAAACAGAAGCTTTATTCTGCAAACTGATTAATTACCTAACCAAACATACACTGAATTTCAAGACTTCCCACTTAGGAGTAAGAAGAAGGTACCCACTGCTGCTCTTTAATATTAAGTTATTGTGACCGGGAGTGTGAGGAAGTGGGAACTGGTGTGTTCCCTAGAAAGTTTTAAGAACAAACCAACCTGGAATCAATCCGACCACAGAAAGAAATGACAATAACTGAAGAGTAATAATGAAAAAACAGAAGAAAAAAAACCCGAACAAGTCTATGCTGATTTAAACACACCCACACCACACACACACACACACACACACACGGTTGACTGTGAAAGCACAGCGACTAAGGGGCTTGTCCTGCAAGTGGCCAACCTGGGCTTGGTCTCAGTACCCCGTATGTTCCCCAAGGCCAGTCGGGAAAGAACCCTGAAAAGCCAGGAGTGGTTCCAAAACAAAAACAAAAATCACACAAAGCAACAGGGGTAGATAATGAGTCCGTCCATTCCCCTCCCTCCCCCCCCAATGAAGGCTCCTGACAGCAACGCAGGGGCCAGTAGGGGGGTGGCCCACAGCGGACCAGCCATCAGAATTAGGGCCCATGGAGGGCCGACTGTGACACTGAGGGTCTATGGGGGGGACGAGGCGGCTGTCACACGGAGGGCCCATGGTGGGGGGAGTGGTGGATGTGGGCTTCACACTCAGGACACAAAGGGGGTCAGCCATCACACCATCACACTCGGTCTTCACATGGGCTCAACCTCCTGAGCTAGGCCTGGGCCCTAGAGAAACATCCAATGGCTGGGGCTGGAGCCATAGCACAGTGGAGAGGGCGTTTGCCTTGCATGCAGCCAACCCAGGTTTGATCCCTAGCATCCCAATGGTGCCCCGAGCACCGCCAGGAGTAATTCCTGAGTGCAGAGCCAGGAGTAACCCCTGAGCATCGCCGGGTGTGTTCCAAAAAGAAAAAGGGAAAAAAAATCCCATGGCTACCTATAAATGTGGATAATACAAGAACTAGGAAAAGTTCTTATTTTTTAACAGTTTTAAAACATTAAAAAAATCCCAGTGGGTACTGGGATTGCCAATACTGTTAGTGATACTCTTCATGGCAACATCATCCCAACACCCCTTCATTGAATGAGGGCCTGCCTGTGTTCCCCCACCAGGGTCCCAAGGTTCCGTCTCACGTCTCCCCGGCCCATGTGTAAGCTTAGTTCTATAGCCAGGATCTTCAGTTCTGATGAAAAAGTCACTATTTTGGAAGGATCATATTAGAACCATAAACTGATTCAACTAATCATCAATAACAACTAAAAGCAATGAGTTTACTGGGGCAGAGACTACTTACGGGCATCAAAGGATTTCCACACACAATGTTTAAAAATGAGAAAAATGCAAACCTACAGCAGAAACAGCTAGAAGAATCCTCTTCCCTTTATGAGTGAATTAATGAGAAATTAATGAGACACAGGGAGAGAACAAGCTCTGGCACATAAACAATGAAAATAACATCACTTAAGTGGCATTTACTTCCAAAACGCAGAGCCTGAAATTAAGTATGAGAAAACCATCCAACACCCCCAAACTGAAGAGCATTCTATAGAAACTGCTGTCCTGGAGACAACTCAGGACAATGACAAGGGCAGTGATCACTCTGAAGAGGCCGAGCGCTGAGAAAGGGGGTGACATGCGCGACATGTTTTCAGTGATAGTTACGCTCTCAGTGACAGTTCCGAAAGCCTCAGTGCTACAAAGGACAGCGTCCCCCACAGAGGCCTGCTGGGGGGGGGGGGGGAGGGGGGGGGAAGGGGACCCGAGACACTGGTGGGGGGATCATGTTTATATTCCAAACCCCAATCATAAATAACTCTGCAGCTTTGTAATTCATGATGATTCAATTAAAAATATGCTGTCCTGTATATACACTTATTTAAAAAAATTCCACTACAGGGTAGATGATGGAAAGGTAAAAGGACTGTTTCAGGCGACCTATTGGGGTAGGTAAGAATCTTCCATCTTAGGAGATGAAAATACATATATTATGGGGGAAAAAAAAAAAGAGTCTCAGTTCTATAACTTTACTTTCAAAATAAGTCAAAACAAAATTAAAACACCTGAACATGTAAAACAAAACAAAAAAATAGCAGGAGAAAATATACCAAAGAGGAATGGCTGAACACAGCACATTTTTCTAAAACTCAAAAATCAGTTTGTTTTTGGGAATGGGGGGGAGGGGAGGGCACATACAACAAAATCATCAACGCGTACAGTGGCACACTGGGGTAGTCAGGTGGCCACAATCATTCCTACCTATTGTCGCTCCGAGTCTCCATGGCCACAGGGTTGGGCGAGGCCCGGTGTCCTGAGATGGGGATCAGGCTACTCCTCTCGGCCGGGTAATCAGGCTGGATCCTGGGGGACGTGTGTGTGATCTGCTGAGGCACCACCTTAGCTGCAAGACACAAAACCTGCTTCAGCCCCACTCGTTTACCTGAGCTGGCATGCCACAATACCTCACCCACAAGCTTAGAATGCACATAGTCATAAGGCTTTCCCCCCCCAGGTTTACGGAATATGAAAAAGGAAAGATGAACACATACAATCTCCATACAGTGATCCTGACATACTATTACTAGTTACCACAGGGTTCAAACTCTAACAAAAATTCCCATTTGCTAAGTTTATTTTCCCTGATCTAAGTTCTTGAAGGCCTTTTACTAAAATGAGAAGACTTCTTAAATCAAACAAAAAATTCAACAACCAAGTTTTAATTCAAAAATGGCAATGATCTGAGATTCTACTCCAGGGTCCGTAGTTACTCAATGATCTGTCATTAATTAATTAGACCAGATTATTTTCAAATCCACATTCTTACCTGTGCTAGTCTTTTCTGTATCGCCACACTCATTTCTGAGACTCCTGAGTGCCCAGTGGCCCCTGTAACCCCTCACAGACAACCCAAATGACTAGAGTTCAGTGATCTGAGGGGCAACTCTGCACCCTTTTATACCCTGCACTCAAACTCCACGGCAACACAGATGCGCTTTCTACTCTCCTTCCCAACCCCTCATCTTTGGCATGGAAATTTTGGAAAGAAGAGCAGCGATGTGTTTCAGCAGTCTAAAGAATCAGGTCAACATGTGTCCGGTCCTGCAGCAGGGGCCTGGCCACAAGTCGAGGGGGACACCACCCACCAGCCCACGTGCAGCAGGTGACAGCAAGGCCAGAGCAGACCTTTCCCAATGGATCACTGGACAGCACAGATTGGCGAGAGAAACTACTATTCTTCACCAGGAAAGTGGGCATTGGGTGGAGCACTCTGCCTTGCTTTTTTTGGGGGGGAAGGAAGAGGGGAAAATGGTAGGGGAAAATAATTCTTCCGATCGGAAAGCAGCCATCATTTGGCAGAGTTATTCAGCACTGGCTGATAATCAACCCATAAATTTCTTTCCTTAGATGAAATCATGAAATTTGTATATAAGTGGATGGACATGGAGCGTTATCAAGCTAAGTGAAATGAGTCAGAAAGAGAGGGACAGAGAAGGACTTCATTCATTTGTGGAATGTAAAGTAACATGGTATGAGACTAACACCTAACAACAGTAGAGGAAACCGTCAGGAGGATCGCTCCACGGTTTGGAAGCCGGTCTCACATGACTGGAGGAAAAGGCAGTTGGGATGGAGAAGGGACCGCTAAGTCAATGATGGGTGAAGGGACTGCTTGAGATGGTAGATGCGTCCTGAAAGTAGATAAGGGACCAAACACGATGGCCTCTCACTATCTATATTACAAACCATAACATTCAAAAGTAGAGAAGGAGTATTAAGAAGGAAGGTGCCTGGCACAGTGGCAGGGGTTAGGATGGGGTGGGGGTGGCAGGAGGGATACTGGGAATACTGGTGGTGGAAACTGTGCACTGGTGGAGGGATGGGGGCTGATCATTGTGTGACTGAAACTTAATCATTAAGGTTTGTAACTATCTCAAGGTGATTCAATAAAAAAAAAATTCTTTTTTTGGGGGGGGGAGGAGAGGGCATCACATATGGCAATGCTTAGGGGTTACTCCTGGCTCTGCACTCAGGAATTATTCCTGGTGGTGTGTGGGGGACCATATAGGATGCCGGGGATCAAACCCAGGTCAGTCACATGCAAAAAATGCCCTACGCCCTGTACAATTGCTGCAGGCCCAAATTTACTTCTTTTTCTGATTAAGAAAAGTCACTGAGGGGAGTATGGTGCCGCCAGCAGGTCAATCTGTACCTGTGAGGTAAGTGCAGCAGCAGCCTGATGGCTTCTTCAGACTCCCAGATACCCCAAAATTGCTATTGTGCCTTTGGCCAGACCCCAACAACTTGGGGCAAAGTTTACCCAGAAAGTAAATGGCCAAAAGTTAGGTATGTGGGAAACACACCCACAAACCACCTTCAGCTCAGCTATATAATTGGAGGCATGGCCTCTGATTGAACTCTTTAACGGCCATGATCCCAGAGACTCAGAAACAAATCTCGAAACCCAGTGGCTTTTGGCAGAAATGTGTCTGGTCCCTGCAGTGCTGGGCCCACGGTTTCGTGCCTTGGCCTGTTCCGCCTGGTGGCCCAGTGGCCGCCATCCTCCAGAGGCCACTGGACAGTCAGGTTTGGGCCCGCAGTGACGAGACACACAGGGCCTCACGGGATGGAGCCGGTCCTGTCCTCCCCACCCTAACGAGACCCCAAGTCATCATCCACGAACGGCCTCTCTGGCTCCTGATCAAGCTGCTTAATGGCCATGATCCCAAAGACTCAGAAACAAATTTCGAAACTCAGCGGCTTTTGGCAGAAATGCGTCCGGACCCTGCAGTAGGTTACTGTCGCCGGGCTACCCCAGGAGAGAAAGGGTGTTGTCCTTCCGCCTGCTTCCCCCTGGCGGTTCGGTGGCCGTCATCCTTCAGAGGCCACTGGACAGTCAGGTTTGGGCCCACAGTGACGAGACACGCAGGGCCTCATGGGATGGAGCCGGTCCTGCCCTCCCCACCCCAACGAGACCCCAAGTCATCACCCACGAACGGCCTCTCTGGCTCCTGATCAAGCTGCTTAACGGCCATGATCCCAGAGACTCAGGAGCAAAGCTTGGAATCCAGCAGGTTTTGGCAGAAATCCCTCCAGATTTAAGTGTTAAAATTTTGGAATTTCAAAATCGTGCGGCCACTACTGCAGCCATGCAACATCATATGTTATTCATAACCAGCAACACAAAACAAATTGTCTACTGTTGCCTTTTCAGCAGATCTGAGTGTTGGGGCAAAATCTCAAATAATAATGGTGGGTCTGGTGTCAAAATATTGAATGTGATCAAAGTAGAGAGAGAGTAATGTGGAAATCATCTGCCCCACTGGTAGGGGGAGGGTGTGGGATGGGGATATACTGGGGTTGTTGGGGGTGGAGAATGGGCACTGGTGAAGGTACGGGTGTTTCGTTGTATGACCGAGACTTAGACCCGAAAGCTTTGTAACTGCTCTCACGGTGATTCAATAAATAAAATTATATAAAAAAAAAAAAAAGAAAAGAAAAGCCACTGAGCACCTGAGACACAGTACGGAGATTATGGCGCTTGCCTTGGCTATAACTGGTTGGGACCTCTGGTACCACACATGCTCCCAGGAGCACCAGCAAGGCCCACCACTGAGCACAGGCCAATAGTAAGCCCTGAGCACTGCCAGCTGTGGTTTAAAAATAAAAACTAGAAAAATTCATTGTTTCCCAACCACTTAAAGCACAAAACACACCGCTGATGTGGGAGATTGCCCAGGGCATGAAGCGAGCTCTCCCTTCCTGGAGAGGAGGTGGGAAGGGCTGGGAACGTCCGCTCTGGGAGATCAAAATGAACGCGACGACCCCAGTCTGCTCTGCCCTCACAGCACTGCAGGCTAGAGCACGGACTGGAAGACGCTCCTTACTGCAAGTAAGGAAACCCGTCTCAGAGCAAGGTGCAGGTGCTAGACCCGAGCGGCCCCGAGCAGGGAAGTGTGAATAAGCCAGTAGAGGGGAGAAGAGTTCGCCTGCTTAGTGTCAATTTAAAGGCTTATCCAAAGGAGTATAAGCACTTCCATGCCCTGTACTATTCTCAAAGTGTCCTTAAAATGCATCACAAGGTGGGGCTGGAGGGCACTTGCCTTGGAAGGAGGATCCCCGATCACAGACCACGAGTGCTTTTGGGTACCGTCCCAAATCCACCAACCAAATCAAAGAAACAAAAATGTACCATGAGGGCTGTGAGGGTCAGTAATGGGAGGAGAGGAGGATGGGGGGATTCCAACCTGAATCTGACTTCTGAGAGCTAGGGATGTCTGTACCTGCTCACAGGAAGCAGTCTGACTCCAAACAAGTATTAAAATATGACATAACGTTGGCTTTCTCTGGCCATACATCAAATATAAAATAAGCAACAAAATCTGATAAAAAAAAACAGAATCCAAGAAAAATGGAGTGGTAGCTGGGGGAAAGGGTAAGGAAATGAGAGGTGCAGGTGGACAGGGTCAATCTGACATGGGGCCCGGGACAGGGAGCTGACGGGCTCTTCACTGCAGACGGGCTGAACAACACCCAAGAATCCCAGCCTGTGGCCCAGGATGGAGGGAGAACTACGGTTCGGAGGCCCCAGTCCCGGGTTACATGCTGGTGAGCTGTGGACTGAATCCCACCTGAAACCCATTTCTGTGCAGCCTGGGGGCTAAGATAGGCTCATATTCTATGATGGTGGTGGCTGGGGGGGGGGGGGGGGGGTGGGGGTGGGGGAGAACGAGGAAGTAAAAAAGTACCTGAACATCAAATCTGTGTGTGTGTTAGAAATCCACGCTGCCTTGAAAACCCGCGGTCATAGCCTCGGCAGTGGCCGCCCTGCTGAGGATGGGCAGTCCCTGCTGTGTCTGTGCTCAGGCCGCCGGCACTTACCCACAGGGATGTTGGAGGCAGTCACAGCAGTAGCATGGGATGAATGTGAGGGCATCGTCATGGTGACAATTGTACTCGTGGGAGCCTGTGTGTGTGACACAGATCCTGAAACAGGAGAAAAAAAAAAATTCTTCCACAATGGTCTCTTTTCAAGGCATTACAGATTCTTAGAAGCCCGCAAGCGAGCGCTGGGGGAAATGAAAGGGAGTGTCTCTATCTGGCCAGTTCCTGCCTGAAGCCGAGACACGGAGCCCTGCCTCCACTTCCCCTGCCCGCCCCCCAGCAGAGGCACAGGGCGACGACCTACCGGCCGTGGTTGCTGAGGCGATGGTGTTGGTCGCCAGGATTGGAGCCACAGTCGCTGCCGCCACGGGTGTGCCAGTACTGAAGATGGTTTTCTGGGAGGAGGGAACCCCAAAACCGTTTAATGAGAACTCCTCCCAAGCCAACCTCACCGTAGCTCAGGCCCGTCCCACGGTGCAGCTTCTGTCCGGGCCTACCTGGGCCATGGTGTGGAGCTGCTGCTTGGGCGTCCCCAGGGCAGGATGGGATGGCAGCGTGATCCTGGTGGTCACGTCGCGGGACTGAGCCGGGCGCTGGATACTGATGGCTGCGGACGGTGGGTGCTGAATGGACAGCGCTGGCCGGCTGGGGAGACAGGGGCACATGCTCACTGACAGCTCCTGGCTGGCTGCACCAGGCAAGGCGATGGGCTTCCCCGTACCAGGGCACAGGCAGGCAGCTGTGTTTTCCCGTGGGTCTGTGACGCTGACAGTCACATCACTGAAGGAATTTCTCTCCTGGAATTGCAGCCTCTCTTTGAAAGGTGCCAATATGTGCCAGGAATGAATGAATCAGCCCTTAGTCACTCTCATTATCGCTGACATAGTTAATCAACACTTGCAAATCTCAAGTGAACATTATTGTAATGAACACACTTCACTCTGTGTTCAAAGTTCAAACACATTTTTTCAAGTTATGAGGGAAGATTATAGAAAACCCTGATTAACAGCATCTAATCAGTGACTCCCACCTGCAATTTCTTTTAACATTTCTGTCCAGATAATCATGGTTAATACTGCAAAATGACTGAAAGAGACATCAACAGAGAATGTCCAATTAGCTGGTAACTGAGTGATAGAGAACTGCTTTTTTCACCGGTAAAGAGACCAGTGTTGGACCATTGACTGAAACCCAATCAAGAACAACTCTGGAACTGCGTATCTCACAGTGATTCAGTTAAGGAAAAAAAAATTGCAATAATGGCAAGAAAACTTGCCAGTTTTTCAACAAAGTTAACAGTACAAGTTGGAGCAAAGGAGAAAATGGACACTGAATAAAACATGTTCAGAGACTCTGGGGATGGGGAGGGCGGGTTTGACACACACGTAACACATTCCACCAGGATGAAATACAAACTAATCATAGATTTAATGACAAAGGAAGTAAAGTAACTGGGGACGAGGCTCAGTGGTAGGGCAACTGCTTCAAAGATTTTGGTTCCGATTCCCAACAAAACACACCCCTCCACATACACCAATTCTCCCCCAAATCCAAAAGATAACTCTGTGATCAAATAAACAAACCCCTTATGTAGCAAAACGCATTACAAGCAGAGTCAATGATTCACATCTCAAAATAGAATATGAAAATACTAAGAGATCCTTAAAATCTATGAAAAAAAAAATAACAGTTCAAAGGACCTCACAGGATCAATGAAAAAGCAAACGGCTGCTTAATTAAAAGAGTCATTCCCATTCCTAAGATGAGCTATCACTGTTCCCTATCAGACCGGTAAAACTCCAAAGCTGTACAGGAAATTTTAACTGTCCTGATGAGTCTCAGCAAGAGCTGACGGAAAGCAAACAGTCGGCAGTATGTAGCAAATTCACAACTGTTTATTCTCCAATCACTCGTGAAAATTCATCCTACATATATTCTTTTACATGTGCATAATGACATTAGTATCATAATGACATTAGTATAAGGTTAATCACAGCAGTTATTTATGATACTAAAGTCCTAGAAACATCAATGCATTTGTAAAAAGGAATCACTATATGACTACTCAAAGAATGATAAATTTCAAGTTCTGAAATGGAAAACTTTTAACATATAACAATACTGAACACTAAATAAACAATCTTTCAAGAAAAAAAGATGAAGAGAAATACACTTGAGTCAGAATGTACTTAAGAACACTGTAAGGCTATCCAAAATACTACTAATAGGTTACCTTAGATAAAGCAAAGAACACAGGCACTTGGTTGATGGGGAAGTGTAGACAGGACACTTATTCTCCTGTATTTTATTCCTTAATACTTTTCTATTTTGGAACCAGATGAATGTGACTTAGGAAAAAGAAAATATGTTGAGCTGTAAGGGTGAAAAATGGATTGGGACAAGTTTATATGCCCAAAGCAAGCAATGGTTTCACCAAAATGCTTTCAAATCAGACCTGGCAAGAGCAGCAGCATTAAGAGGAAGAAAGGTTTCCAAACAGCTCTCGAACTCCAGAACAAAGGAAATCTGAAAGCCTGGAGAGAGATGCGACTAAAGGACTCAACCAAGTACAGGCAGTCAGCCAAGAAGAAAGGACACTGGAAACTGATTTTCACCTTCTGGGTAGCTGGCAGTGTTCAGAGCCGGGGGGGCGGGGGAGTGTCCTGAGGACAAATGAGGAAAGACCCCATCGCTCCTACATGCAAACATGTACTCCAGCCTTTGGAGCCATCTCCTTGGCCCTTGCCTCTTTTAAAAATCCAGTCTCTAGGGCTGGAGATAGCACAGCCTTGCACGCACCCAGCCCAGGTGTGATCCCCGGTACCCCACATGGTTCCCCAAACACTGTGAGGAGGAATTTCTGAGTGTAGAGCCAGGAGTAACCCGAATACTCCCAAGGATGACCCAAAACAATAAAAAATAAATACAAATTCAGTCTTTGGGAGGGGGTCCTAGAGCTCAAGGAGGTGGTGCACATGCTCCACATTGTGAACACAGACCTAAGCCTCTGCACAGCAAGGTCCCACGAGCCTGCACTGGGGCAGAGGAACTGAACACACCTGGGCACAACATCCCCTATACAGGGCACCCAGCACACACTCACACACAGTGAACTGAACATTCCTGGGCTCACGTCCCCCTCTACAGACCAACCAGCACACATGCACGCACAGTGAACTGAACATGCCTGGGCACATGCGCCCCCCCCCCCCTCCCCATACAGACCACCAAGCACACACTCACAGTGAACTGATCATGCCTGGGCACACGCCCCCCTATACAGGCCACACAGCACACACACACTCACAGTGAACTAAGCACGCCTGGGCGCATGCCCCCCTATACAGGCCACCCAGTACACACTCAGCATTTACAATGAACTGAGAGACACGTGGCTAAAAATCAGGACAGACTTTAGGGTGCATGGACCTGGTTATAAAGATGGTTTGGGGACTAGGCCAACCTCCAAGCAGGCCTGGGAAGCCCATCTGGTGCTGGGCTCTGGTAGCCTCAACACTGCTGGGAGGCACTCATGAAATTTTTAAAAACTGTGTTTCATTCATTCAACCAAGCGATGAATTAAAAACTAAAAAAGATCAAAGGCCTGGCAGGCAGGCATTTTCAATAGGTAGAACTGACTTTTTTTTAAAAAGTCTGCTTAAACTTTCACTAGCAAAATTCTAAGGGAGTAACATATGCCAGATACATCATAATTATATGTCTAAGTATCTGATCTTCATAGTTTCCTTTATTGCTACAGGTTACAGCAGAGGTGCTGGCCCACAGAAAAGTTACATTTACTTCCTGCGTGAATGCTGAAATTTCTGGATAAAATTCAACAATCGTTTTTTTTTTTTTTAACTAACATCAGTACATTGAAAAATATTTCTATTCAAAAGAAGTCCAATACTTTCATTGTACATGTGTTCTGAATTTCATCCCTCTAAGTATATTTTTGGATATAAGACTGATATGAACAACAGTCTAGTTTCTATGTTGGGTAGCTGTGTCTATACCTGTGGCAACAGATTAGAACAAAGCAAATGGTTCATGAAGAGAGGATTCAGGGTGTGAGAACTAGCACACTGTCACAAAGCCAATAAATGATAAGTTAAATAAGTCCTGGCGCTACTCTGCATTTGCCTGTCAGACTCTGCACTCTTCTCTTCTCTTCTCAGGCCTCTTATGCTTCTTCTCATGCCCCTGGACTCAGCTGAGCTGTGGCGCTCAAGTCAATGACTCTTAAACCCGGTACTGACCACATGCTGGCCGGAGCCACTTCAGAACCCCTGACTCGAACTTCCTTCTCAAACCTCCCTTTCTCTTTTTGGGACCACACCCAGCAGTGCTGGGATCACTTTGGTTCTGTGATCCCTAAGTACAGTTCAGGGATCACTTCTGGAGGTGCCTGGGAGACCGTATGGGATGCTGAACCCAGGTGGGCCCAGCAAGGCCAGTGCCCTCCCTGCTGTACTGACCCAGGCCCTCCCTCCCCTTAGCACCTCAGACTTCCCTTTCCTCATCCTACTCCCAGGAATAACCAAGCCCCAGGGCTGGGACTTCTGAGGGTGCTATTCTCAGGGCACTTTCTCTTGCAGTCAGCCAGGTACTGCTCACCAGCCAAAGTCACCCAGTGTGGGCTTCCCTGTCAGATGCCCCCACCCGCCCAGCGCCTCCACACAGTGGGACTCAGAGACCAAGAAAACAAAGGCTATTGGGTGTTTTCTGTTTGTCTGAGTTCTTGGTGGCTGAGGGGCTCACAGGGCACTGGGGCTGGACCTCAGCCCACCAGCATGAAGCCCACACTCAGCACTCTGTGGGGTCTCCAGCCCAAAGCTTCATCCCTCACGCCTGACTAGGAAATACTTGCAGGTACTCTTCCTCTACTGGGCTACATCACGGCATGGCCCGGAAGGTCTCTGCAGTATCCGACCATCTCAAACACGCTCTTCTGCGGTTGCCTCTGGATTTAACATCCATCTTTGGCGAGATCTCTCATCATCCTCTATATTCTTGACTCTGCCTTCAGAGAACTCTGGCCCCAGCCTTGTGTGGAAGACATCTGCTCTCCCTCAGTCCTCCTCCCTACCCACTGTCCTCTGGGACCACCATCAGCTTCTCAACTCTCCTGGACTCCAGATCCATATGTTACCTACTCCATTTGGGAGCTCAGAAACTGCACAACCTTAAATACCCAGAACCAGAGTCTGGAATTCCTCTGCATCCTCCCCGTTTTCCATCGTGAGTCAGTGTGACGCCTTCTCCAGGCTGCACAGGCGAGACAGTGCTGGCACCAGTCCAACACCTGTTACTCTCTCCACCTTTCCGTGTACTATCTCTCAAGTTTTCTTGCCTGTCTTCAAAATTCAATACATGTGTCTATGTATGACCATTTCTAACAATCATCTCTCAGGTTCCTGCCACCCCTTCTAAAAATCTGTTTCCATGATAGCACAGCAGGGAAGGCATTTGCCTTCCACGCAGCCAATCTGGGTTCCTGTACGGTCCTCTCAGCACCACCAGGAGTAATTCCTGAGTGCAGAGCCAGGAGTAACCCATTAGCATTGCCAGGTGTGACCCAAAATAAGATAAAAAAAAAAAAATCTGTTTTCAGTTTTTGCCTCTCTAGAAACTACTCTAATCTGCAAAAGCCAATGCAACAAAAACTTCAAATCTCAGCACCAAGCACTCAGCAGCTCTGCTACAGCATCCCACTGCTGGTACAGGACACACCCCAGAGTGGTACACAGTCATCCTTTGCTCTGAGGTTGCTATAACCTCCTAGAATGATCACTTGTTGGTGCTGGGTAAACTGGATAGCTACCTGCAAAAAAATAAACTCTGACCTCTGTCTAATGCCAGGCACAAAAGTCAGATCAAGGTGGATTAAAGACTTCAATATCAGACATGAATCCATAAGGTACATAGAGAAAAATGTAGGCAGAACCCTCCATGACATTGAAGCTAAAAGCATCTTTAAGGATGAAACAGCACTGACCATGCAAGTGGAAGCAAACATAAACAAATGGGACTACATCAAACTAAGAAGCTTCTGCACTTCAAAAAAAAACAGTGACCAAAATACAGAAAGAGCCCATACAATGGGAAAGAATATTTACCCAAAAACCATCTGATAAGGGATTAATATCCAGGATATACAAGACACTAGTAGAATTGTACAAGAAAAAAAAAACCTCCAACCCCATCAAAAAATGGGGAGAAGAAATGAACAGAAGCTTCCTCAAAAAAGAAATACAAATGGCCAAAAGGCACATGAAAAAATGTTCCACATCGCTAGTCATCAGAGAGATACAAATCAAAACAATGAGATATCATCTCACAGCACAGAGACTGGCACACATTCAAAAGAACAAAAGCAACCAGTGCTGGCATGGTGTGGGGAAAAAGGGACACTCTTTCACTGTTGGTGGGAATGCCGACTTGTCCAGTCTTTCTGGAAAGCAATATGAACAGTCCTTCAAAACCTAGAAATTGAGTTTCCATATGGCCCTGCAATACTACTTCTGGGGTAAAATAGCACAGCAGAAATAACATCTGTACTGGGCTGGAGCGATAGCACAGAGGTAGGGTGTTTGCCTTGCACGCAGCCAACATGGCCGACCCGAGTTCGATTCTTCTGCCCCTCTCGGAGAGCTCGGCAAGCTACCGAGAGTATTCGATATGCCAGACACAGTAACAACAAAGTCTCCAATGGAGACGTTACTGGGCCCGCTCGAGCAAATCGATGATCAACGGGAGGGCCTTTACCTTTACCTACATGTTCATTGCAGCACTGTTTACAAAAGCCAAAATCTGGAAACAAACCAAGCGCCCTACAAAAGATGACTGGTTAAAGAAACTTTGGTACATCTACACAATGGAATACTAAGCAGCTATTAGGAGAGATAAAGTCATGAAATTTGCTTATAAGTGGATAGACATGGAGAGTATCATGCTAAGTGAAATGAGTCAGAAAGAGACGGACAGATATAGAAGGACTGTACTCGTTTGTGGAGTATAGAATAACATAACATGAGGCTGACTCCCAAGGACAGTAGATACAAGGGCCAGGAGGATTGCCCCACAGCCAGAAGCCTGCCTCATGAGCAGAGGGGAGAAGGCAGATGAAACAGAGAAGGGATCACTAAGAAAACGATGGCTGGAGGAATCAGTCGGGATGGGGGATGTGTGCTGAAAGTAGATAATGGACCAAACATGAAGACCTCTCAGTATCTGTATTGCAAACCACAATGCCCAAAAGTAGAGAGAGAGTATGGGGAATACTGTCTGCCGCGGAGGCAGGGGGAGGGTGGGGAAGGGGGATTTACTGGGGAGATTCGTGGTGGGGAATGTGCACTGGTGAAGGGATGGGTGTTTGACCACTGTGTGATTGTAACCCAAATATGAAAGCTTGTAAATTTCTCAGAGTGATTCAATAAAATTTAAAAAAGAGAAGAAAAAAAAAAAGAATGCTGTCTTGTTGCTTCCCCTACCTTTGGCCTCTTGTTGCAAATGAATCACTATCTTGGGCCCTGCCCGCTGCCGAGAGTGGCCTTATCCATCTTTCTTTGCTATGTTTGGGTGGTGTGTCCTTGAACAACGTCCACCTTGATCCCCCTTCCGGGGCATCATACGCACACTGCACAGTCTCCCTGCTCTCCACCCCCACACAAGTTCTTCTCACCGTGACTTTTGTTCACTAGGGACTGGGGAACGGTTATAGGGTCTGGAGGATATGGTCCAATACCCAGTACTGCACAGTCCCCGAGCACTGCTGAGTGTGGTCACCCCAGATGCTTTTTGGGCCTCAGACTGTCCCCAGCGGTGCTCAGGTGCTACTTCAGCTCAACGCTCAGGGATCGCACCTGGCAGTGCACGGGACACCCTGTGTTCGAGGATTCACCAGGACCTCCAGGATGCAAAGCATGCTTTCAGAGCTTTCATATCGATCAGACTGATCACTACCCCAGCACCACAATTTTTTCCCCTATCTTGCTAGCACCTTCCTGGAAGAAACTCGGTCAATGCAGGAGTCTGCTGAGTCACGTTCTGCCCATGTGGCTCTGACCACTCCCCGTGCCGAAGCAAGGTCCCCTCCCTGTACCTGAGTGCTGAGTCAGCAGCATGTGCTGCTGTCGTCGTGATGACCGGAGACTGGGCCCTGGTGGCCGAGACGGTGGCGACCACGGCAGGAGGGATGGTGTTGGAGGTGGTGACAGGCGGCCGCGACTGCCAAGAGGAAAAATACCATTTAAACAAAGAGCCCCGGGGACTGCATCGATAGCACAGCAGATAGGGCGTTTGCCTCACATGCGGCCGACCCGGGTTCGATTCCCAGCACCCCATATGGTCCCCTGAGCACCGCCAGGGGTAATTCCTGAGTGCATCCAGGTGTGACGCAAAAATAAATAAGTAAATAAAAATAAAAAAATAAACAAAGAGCCCAAAAAACACCACAGTCAGACACATGACAGCCCCAGACTCGAGCCCACAAGGAGCCATGTCCTCAGCAGCTGGACCAAGGACACCTGTTTTCAAGCTGTGAGACCAATGGTCAGCACTCTGACCACCACTGCAGTCCACTGTCAAGCCCGACTGTGAGCAGACAGTATGAAACTACCCTTCCAAAATACGACTGACTCAAAATTCCCTGTCCCAACACACTGGGCTCTGCCTTCCCAGCGCTGACCCTGCCCAGTTGGCGAGAGGCCCTGTGAGTCTGCTACGGCAACTCTGCCCACCCTCCGCACCCTGCTCTGTCGGGCACAGGCGGGAGCTGCCCGAGTGCCAGCGACGACCCAGACCGCCAAGACCGGTCACGTCCACGGAGTTCCCCTATGGCATATCTGGGGTAAGTGCAGAGCCACTAACCCCGCCTACACTGCCTCTCAGACTCCTCTGCCCTCCATCCGCCAGCCACTGCCAGCTCCCTTTCCACGCCCTAATGCAGAGCGAGGCGGACAGACACAGCCACCCCTCCACACCTTGCACTGTGTCCTTACCACCACAGTCCACCACGTTCACACCGGCTCAGTCACACTGTCTCCTCCCTCCCCGCCAGCGTCCCTTCCTTGTCTCTTGCTCCAGCCCTTGCTGCAGACACTAAGCAATCTCCAAGATGTGTTCAGCCCATCGGCAAGATCTTCGGTTCCGATTCAAGAGCCCCCGAGTGGCTGTGCACTCCATGTTCAATCTATATTCCTCCTCACTATCTAACACCCTCTAGGTGCTTCTCGCCTAGTACCCTCTGGTCCACAAAGCTATTTGAAGTCCTCCCTCCTGTATATAATTCAGCAAATCTTCCAAAGACATTGCCTCGGCAATACACTGTTTTGTTCAAATGACTTAATAGCCCTCTGCTCTGTATGATGCCAAGTTTACACTCCCTATCTTAGAGTTCCACACGTGGAGGCACCACAACAATCCTTGGTACTAATTGTTCTCCAGGAATATGCAGGTTGCAGAGCTCCTCACAGACACAGAGAAAAGGATGACTCCTTTCTAGAAAGAAAAGACAAAAAACTAAAACGTTTTCTAAGCACATAAAGCACCTGGGCCAGTGACTCCCTATCCAGCTCAGAGCTCTGAGCTCTGGCGAGATTTTGCTGAACACTGGTGTCATTCCTGCATCCTCACTGTTCTCAATAACGTCCCCTCCACGTGTGTCCAGAGACAAGTCTTCCCTTTGCCTCTCCTCTAATTCCTGCAGCCAATCACATGACACCATACCAAGTCCACCTTCATTGGTAAATCCAGCCACTCGCCAGCCCCTTGTGGGTGAGTGAACCAGGAGGCACTTCCCGCCACTGGCTGACCCCCCCCCCCCGCCCTTGCACATGCCTGGATTGGCTGGTGAATGATGTGCTGCACTGCTGGCTGAGCGGTAGCAGCATTTGGCAACTGGGAAGTCGGCCTCAGGACCGTGGTCACTTTAGAGCTGGACATCACAGCCGCCGCCGCCGCCCCTGGAAAGAGAGTCTGGTTAGCGCAGTCCGAACAACACTCCTGAGGAGGATGAGGGCAGTCTCTACAACTCAGTCTATCAGTGCTCAGCACAATTCTGTGTACATACAGACTTTGCCTTTCTTCACGGAGGTGACAAAGATGAACATACATTCAAGGACTGCCAGTTAAACCTGGTAATTGACAGGACTAACCAAGGATACCCCAAACTTAAACTGTCCTGAAAGAAAAAAAAAGTTGGTAGTAAAGTATGTAGCAGTAAAGCTCTTGGTGACTAGCTCAGCACGGGGCACTCAGGCCAGAGCTCTGCAGCTGGCCTGAACTGCCTTCGACTGCAGAAGCAGCTGTTGGCACACACGGAAACGGTGTTTTTAGAGTTCCAAGAGGGGCTGGAGCAATAGCACAGTGGGTAGGGCATTTGCCTCACATGCAGCCATTCCGGGTTTGATTCCTGGCATCCTATATGGTCCCCAGAGCACCACCAGTACTAATTCCTGAGTGCAGAGCCAGAAGTAACCCCTGTGCCATCGCCAGGTGTGAACCAAAAAGAAAAAAAAAAAAAGTTCCAAGAAAGCCTATGGCACAGAGCCCCCTGCCTCTGCAATGGGCTCTGACAAACAAGTAACAATCAAGAGAACCTGGCTTTAGATTTCTGACTCTGGTTTAGTTTGGGGGCCATGCCTGGCAATGCTCAGGGGCTACTCATGGCTTGGTGCTCAGGGGCACAAGCTGGGACTCCAGGTGCAAAGCTGCTCTCCAGACGTTGAGGTATTTCCCTAGCACACTCCCTGACTTTGGCAGCAACAACTTCACTCTCTCTAAAAGAACCGAACAGTTTATAATCAAGCAGTTGAGAAAACAAATCACATTTCATCCTTTATAAACTATTAAGACCTAACTCTAAGATTGAGTTCTTCTAGTTCATCTCATTGCTCAAATTCTTACAATTTATTCATCTTTTTTGCTACGTAATAAAGAATTTAATAGTAAACCATCGTATCTAAACTTCCAAAGTACTTGAGAGGGCAGGAGCGTGGTAAAATGGCAGAGCACATGCCTAGCCAGGGGGAGGCCCTGAGGCTGAGCATATGCCCAGGTGGCCCCAACCTCCCTACACAGCCCAAGCCGCCAAGAACTCAGGTTCCAAACCAGGCTCAAACCCAGGCCCCCTGAGCAGCTCAGCTGACCCTACAGAAAACACGAAACAGTGCTTACACCAGGACACAGCCAGTAGTCAAAACACAGCATACATGGGGAGGCCCTAAGCTCATGCATGTGCATGTGTGCGTGCGTGTACACACACACATACACATACACACACACACACACACACACACACCACCATTAAAGCTTATAGATTATTTGTTAAAACTGAAGACCATTTTCAGACTACCATACCTTGAGGAACTCATCATTATAAAAGTTCTTATACCAAAAGATCACAATTGCTTTTAAAGCAGTATTGCTCTAAAATGTATATATATGCAGACTTGCAATTCACCTATTAAGTACTTTTCAGAATAGGCAAAAAATGCGTATCGCTCCACATTTGTTTAGGCTGTTTTGCAACTCAAGTAAACCAATTCTGGATATGCTCGACATTCCCATGTTTCCCACCAAATGTTTATTTGAAATTTCTGCTGTTCTGAGAGTTTGAACAAAATACCCTGTCGTTACCTCGAGGTAAATGAGATGCTCCGATGTGAAGGGGAGGCCCAGGAGCATTGCTGCGGATAATGGACATCTGCACGTTGGTGGTCATGATATGATGCAGGTTGCTCGGGTGTCCCTGCAGAAATGGAGTATAACATGTCACCGTCACAAGCTTAGCTCAGTGTTGGTACTGAACCATTACTTCCAGGAAGTCAGCTGCCTCAAAATGTGGGTTGACCCTTTCCATGTTTATTTGGTTTACTGGGTTTTTGGGCCATCAGCTGGTGGTCCTTGGGGATCACTCTTGGTGGGATTCAGTGGGTATATGTGGTGCTGGGACTAACCAGGGTCAAATAGGTTTGCACGGCAAGTACTGCACCATCTGATGATGCAGTGCATCATCTCTCCTGCACACAGACTCAACTTTTAAAAAAATGACAGGCAGGGGCCTAAGTGACAGTACAACAGGCAGGGCACTTGCCTTAAAGTGGCTAACTTGGGCTCAAACTCCTGCAGCCCATATGGTCCCTGGAGTCCCACCAGGAGTGATCCCTGAGTGCAGAGTCAGGAGTGAGCCCTGAGCACTGCAGAGTGTGGCCCAAAACAGGCAAAGGGAAAAACACAAACAAGTCTGGAGGGATCATCCAAGAGACTGGGCACCTGCTGCGCATGCCGAGCACCAGGACGGGATCCCTGCTTCCACATGTCAGATCCCTGACCTCCTCCTCTCTAAGCAGAGTGGGAGCCGCCCCAGAAAACTGCTGTAGGGCCCCAAACCACATCAAACCAAGACTTTTAGAACCCCAAAGCAGAGTTTAAAATGATCTGGGCCTATGGGTCTCTGTGAGTGTGTCTCAGAACCCATCAGCTTCTTCCAACCTCACCAGCTTGAGACCCTAAGACACATGGATGCCAAGCATCCATTCTGAGACATGGACGCTGGCGAGCGGAGGCTTTCCCACTCTCCTTCCTTGGCCAAAGCTTGTTTTCTACCATGCCCTGTTTCACTCCCCATACGGCCATGCTTTCTAATGCTATCCTGAATATTCAATCATCAGTTAATATGCAAGAGATACTCTGTGACCAGACCTTTACCTCGTTCCAAAAATGGTCCTTTCCAAGAGCACGCTCTGCATGAAGGGGCCCAGCTGGAAGCCCTAGCTCTGGATCATGCTCCGAGAACCTCTCCTCCACAGGGCAGTTCCTTCCCTACACACATCCACCCCAGAGAGATGGCAGTGCTTCTCATATGGAGACCCAGTGAAGCATCCAACAAAAAGAATGCTTCTTTAGAAAATATTTTTTGGTTGCGTAGGCCTGCATTACAGGCTCTGCATTCAGGAGTCACTCCTGGTGGGGCTCAGGGACACAACGGGGTGCCAGGGATGGAACCCAGAAAAGCCACGTGCAGGGCAAGTGCTGTCCTCTTGCTCGGGCCCCAGAGTGCATCTCTTCAGAATACCTTTTTCAGATAGAAGAATGTTGAGAACTGCTTTTTCCTTAACATGGTAAATAAATCAAATACATATTATGGAGTAGGACTGCAATTGCAGAAGTATTTCAAATGCAAACTTAATCAGAAGTGCTACCACTGGGGCTATGCGGTACCTGCCAGCTGTCCATGAGGGTGCAACTGCACTCCTCAAGAGGGAATCAGAGGCAACCAGTCTGCTATGGCTTTTTTTTTTTTCTGTTTTTGGACCACACCAGGCAGAGCTCATGGCTGTCTACTGGCTCTGTGGTCAGAGGGCCATATGGGGTACCAGAGATCGCTGGGTTAGCCCGGATAGGGCAACCGCCCTGCCCACTGTAGATGCAACCGAGCAAACTGGATTCTGAGCTCTGACTGTCTCAGCAAGATTCATCTGCCACTGAGGGCAGTGCGCATACACAGCAGATGCCAACAAAGACCACCACACACAATGGCTTTCATTCCCCACAGCCCTCGTCTTCTCTCAAACCTCATGTCTTTCCCTCGCAGATCTCAATGACTCTCAGTTTTACCTAGACTATTGTGTACAACACACTGCGGGCATTTAGCAAAGAAGGGTCAGCAGTTTGCTCTCTCCATTACAAAAGTCAGCAAATTAAGAGACTAGGTACCTGCTGTCCGCTGATTGTTGCCACAGGAATGGCTGAGGCCTGAGGGATACTACTCTCCATGGGAACAGTCACCTGGCCTGGAACTTTGGGCGGAAGTGACAAGGTAGAAGGTGGAGCAGGAGCAATGGGGCGGCTGGGCATGGTCGGCTTTGGGGGTGGCTGCAAACAGAAGACAACAGAAAACGAAGAGCAGTTCTGCATCAGTGACACGCTTCATTCTCCTTGTGAACTTCATTCCACGTGCGAACTTCAGACAAAATCAAACTTGGTGAGTGCCAGGACAGAAAGCTATTTACATCCATTTGACAGTCTCTCCCTCAGCGTCACAGCTTACTAGCATTGACACTCCACAGGTGAGGGAGGGAGCAAACAAGCAATGGCTGCACTTTCTCAAAACATCCGGGGAAGATAACCGGTGAGAAAAGTCCAGCTCTGTGTGCTAAGAGCCCATAGTCAGTGGAGTTCATGCACAATTCAATCAGCCTAATCGGTGGCTGAATAAATAGCAGTACTCCTACATTTAAAAAAAAAAAAAGCCCATATTCTTCCTTCCAATCCAGATTTCTTTATTCCACTGGTGACCCCTCTTCCACCAAAAACATGTGGCGTGGGCACAAGCTGCCAGAAACGCCTAGTATTTATTACTTAGCTGACCGTGAATTTATAGTTATGGCGCATTCAAAGCTTTTTGCTGTCACTCATGTTTCTGCACCCCCTACGCTCAGTTGCACAGCCCATGCAGGATCAGCACTCAGTGTTCAAGCAGCCACCTAGAATTTAGGCAATGCTGTTTTCCAAGTTTGAGCAAAAGTAACAAAAACACTATTAGTAGGGGAAACAGAACCAGAAGGCATACGCAAGGCAATATTCTCAGAGACCCCCCTGCTTTACAACACAACCTACAGAGTGTGTTGCTCATTCATGAAAGCGGACTCGGCATAATCATAACATATTAAATTAACGTCGAAATTCTGCGATACTCATTACCCAGTGGATAAGATTAGGCACCTCAGAACATCAAAATTAAGTTATAGAGAAAAGCTGAACTAACGGTCAAAGGAAGGAAACTGGCAGAATTATCAGGCCGTCTCAGCCGGGGCTCAGCGTGACCATCTGCGACTCCCGTACCTTCATGAGTCCCTCCGAGAACGAGAGTGGCACTGCTGGCGTCAGGTGGGCGGGGGGCGCCGTCACTGTGACAGGGGCGCCGGACGCCACCGCGTGGTGTGTAGACAGCATCTGCACCTGGGGGTAGGGCCGCACCACCACAGGCTCTTGCTTGTCTTCCCGGGACTGCAGGGAACCGCTGGCACCCAGGTGCTCCCTGGCACCGACTTCAGCATCTCGACCAGGTTCATCATTGACTAGGAGAGACACGAGGGGTGAAACAACTTCCTTCCGACACCAACACGACAGCACAGACAACCGGAGCAACGCTAATGGGGGCTCAGGCCTGACAGCCTGGCCACTGTCCTGTTACGGTTTAACAAGAGAATCTGGGCATCAGAGTACCTGATGGAACCTGTGGACGACAGGGTATTTTTTGGACATCGTCGTTTGCCCATAATTATGAACAAAAAGCCTGACAGCTATCCAAAATGTGCTCAAAAGAGATCAATGTGCAGTTGAAGATAGGCACCAACTTCATCAAGAATAGTTAAGGGCAAGCAGGAGCAATAGCACACGGGTAGGGTGCTTGCCCGACACAGGCTGATCTGGGCTGGGCTGGGTCTCCGGCATCCCATACGGTCGCCACGCCTGCCAGGAGTAACCCCGGAGTGCAGAGCCAGGAGTACGCCCTGAGCATCGCCAGGTGTAGCTCAAAAAGCCAGGAGGGAAAAAAAAAAAATCAACAGTGACAATAAACTGAGTTTCTGCATCTCTGTTTGTAATGGGGAATATTGGCTCCCAAGGCATCCTACAGTCTGAAGGGAAAGCGAAGAGCTGATCAGCGCCACAAGCACCACTGGCTATGGCGCTGCCAGGTAGACCGGCGCAGCTGAAGGCCAGGAGTGCCCCCAGAACCAGCCCCCCAGCATGGCAAGCGGGGAGCAGCAGCTGGGTATGGGTGGTGATGGGGGAGGGGAGGAATACACTCTCCCTCTTATATGTCACACCCAAGGACATGTCACTTATTTAGAAATTAATTTTTAAAAAATTCAAGGAACTGGGGCTGGAGTGATAGCACAGCGGGTAGGGCGTTTGCCTTCCACGCGGCCGACCCGTGTTCGATTCCCAGCATCCCATATGGTCCCCCAAGCACGGCCAGGAGTAATTCCTGAGTGCATGAACCAGGAGTAACCCCTGTGCATCGCTGGGTGTGACCCCCCCAAAAAAAAATTCAAGGAACTAACGTAGTAAGAACATACTCATTGAAAAAACATTATCTGAAAAAACAATTACATGTATGCAAAAACTTTTGATTATTTGTAAAACTTTAGTAAAGCTGCACCCCAAATCTCTCCCCTCAAGAGATTTATCTTGAGGAGTGAACATTTTGATAAAACCTTCATACTTTTCACTTCTGTAAACAATGGGTGGGTTTTTAATTTAACTTTTTACCCGGCTACCTTTATAATGACGAGCCCATAAAAGTTCATCGTCCTGTGAATGTTCATGACTGAGCGACTACCCCAGTAACAAGCCCTGCACTGATTCTCCATGAACCCTCAGGTCAGCGCCACCCGGTCACTGCCCCTCACCAGGGCACTCACCACCCCAACTTACTCACAGATCACTGCTGGTTTTGTTTGTTAATTTCTAAGTGCATGAGCCAGGTATAACCCCTGTGCATCGCCGGGTGTGACCCAAAAAGTAAACAACAACAACAACAAAAAAAAACACATTATAATAAAAATTTTTTTTGGCACAGTCAGAGTCAGGAATTGGGCCTGCCAATGGGTGCTCTGCCTCTGAACTGCATCCCTGCCTCGCTCCTGGGGGCGGGAGGGAGCGAGGGCTTCCAAGCAGTGCTCAGGAGGTCTGAGGGCCCATCCTGGGTCTGAGGAGGCGCTGCTGCTTGGTCCTGCCTGCAGGACTGAGGGGACCCGGGCGCCCCCGAGTCACTGCTGGTGGTGCTCAGGCCTCCAGGGCCGCCCCTGGTGACGCTCGGGAACATGTGTGGGAAATCAAACCGTGCTCCAAACACTGCACTGTCTCCCGTTGCACACAGCATCATTTCTAAAAGGCTATGGGGAGTTCTTTACAGAGATACCAGTTTAAATGATCACGTCGCTGATGGGCTTTTAGGTTATTTCCAAACTTTTATCAACATCCTAGGCTAGCAAAGTTTTCACAAAAGCGGAGTCCTGAAACCACAACTTAACTGTGAGAAAGAGGACCTTTTCTGTTACTCGAGCAAATCCAGTCATTTGGGATGGCTGCCTTCCCTCCCAACCACTCCTGAGAGCCACAGATCTGTCTATCGCCATCACTCTGTCTTTCCTGGAACTTCATCAAGTCTCACACAACACGAACTTCTAACCTGGCTTCCCTCTTTCTCCTTTTTTGCAGTGCCCGGGACTGAAACCACCGCTTCACACATTCAAGGCTTGTGCTCTACTTGGGACTTTAGTTAAATACACATCATTTTTATGTTTGTTTTTGGTCACACCGAGACCGTAAGGTACCAGGGTCTGAACCTGGGTTCCTGCTTGCAAAGTACAATGCTCCGGCTGTTGAAATCTCCTAAGGTCCTAACATATTTTTGACGGGGTCATTCATATATGTAAACCATGTTTCTTAACAAGGGCCATAAGGACTCCTGGGCGCCCTCAGGATATTCCAAGAGGGCCACAGGTGACACCTAGATGAATGGGGGCCTGGGACGAGGGGTCAGCTGGCAGAACACGTGGCACAGAGGAAGGAAGCAAGGTAGAAAGGAGTCGTGGTCAGCAAGAGGCTGAGGAACACCCCTGTAAGCCAGAGCCCGCTGCCCTTTCTCTCTCTAACCACTGAGGAAGGATTCCACCAGACAGCTCCACCAGATCTTACTAACCTTGTTACCAGTTGATAGTTTCAACTATTTTCAGTTTCGACCAAAGTGCTTGCATGTCTGATGTATTTTCCCTTATCTTATGGAAATGCCTTGGATAGGACGGCTTGGGGAGCTGGATTCTGTAAGATGTTCCAAACTTCTCTCAAGTGGGAGGTCTGCATGCTGCACAACCACATCAGAACAGCCAATCTGTCGGGTCATTCGAAAAATCTACATTTGCTGTGTGCAGTCATTTTTCACTGTGATTTTAATTTGTGTTCCCTAAGGATCAGTGATGCTGAGGATCTTTTATATGCTAAGTGGCCATTAATACAGTTTTTTTTTTCGGTGAAGTGTACATTCAAATATTTTACATCTCTTCAAGAATGTGAGTCCTTTCACAGCCCCGTGGGAGGGGAGTGTGAGAGTGCACAGCTCGGGCTGAGGTGTGGACTGTCCCCCCCAAAATGGGGAGGAAGGGGCTGGAGGAGAGTACTACATCAGTGCCTTGGGGGTGTGGGGGCAAGGGAGGGAGACCCAAGAACACAGTGCTTCCCCCTCTCTGCCTGACCACGCAGGCCACAGGGGAAATGCCTAGTGCAGCTCAGGTCTGGGGAAGGCTGCTCCTCCTAGCACCCACAGGACAGATGCTCCCTGCCAGGGCCTCGCAAGCAGCCGCCACGCTCACCTGAAGCCCTCCTGGTCTGCAAGGACGGGAACTGGTCCCCACCACCCGACCTCTGGGAGAACCGCGGACCCAGGCGGGAGCGAGGACTTGCTCCTTGCAGGGCAGGAAAGTCAGCCCTCACCTTGGAATAATCTTCCAGGACCAGCGCCCTCCCTCACAGAAAAGTATTTCAGGAGGAGACGAAAGAGTAAAGCAAAGCAAAGCAGTTTTATTCAAAGAAATTTACTGAGAGAAGGTGAAAAAGAGGAGGAAATGCATGTTCAAGAGAGAACACAAGCACAGCGGAGAGGGTGTTTGCCTTGAATGTGGCGGAACCAGGAACCAGGTTCAATTCCCGGCATCCCATATGGTCCCCCCAGCACCACCAGGAGTGATTCCTGAGTGCAGAGTCAGGAGTAACCCCTGAGCATCGCTGGGTGTGACCTCCCAAAAAAAAACAGAAAAAAAATTTTTTTTCAGATGGGGAGAAGGGGAATGCAGAGAATGGCATTTTGGAGGTTAAATACAGTTTCTCCAAACTGTCTGGGCCAGGAGAGGTATTTACCACAACTGTCTTCTCAGTCCAGGGCTACTTTTTATTTTGTTAATTGTCTTTTAACAAAATGAAGAATGATCTATTTTAATGTTAATGAAAATGACCTGTTAGTCTCTCTCTCTCTCTCTCTGGTATTGTTTCTGGACCACACCCAGAGATGCTCAGGGGTTACCCCTGGCTCTATACTCAAGGATCACTTCTTGTGGGGTTCCAAGGCACTGAAATGGGGTTGGTGGCATGCAAGACAAATGACCTCCCTGCTGTCCTATTGCTCTGCCCCTCAGCTGCTCTGTTTATAGTGCGTTTTTTTTTCTGGTAAACTAATGCTAAATGTTTTTTGCTTAAGACTAGTTCTCCTATGTCCACTTTTTAGAATTTTTTTTTTATTTTTAAAAGCCTGGAAGCACTCGAGCTACTCTCAGCTTAGTGCTCCAGGTCACTCCTAGTGGTTTTAGGGGATCACCTGCTGCCAGGGATCGCCCCCGAGCCTGCAGAAACATGCACGGTACCCTTTTGAGCAATCTCTGAACTCTCTTCTTTGGAAATTTTTCACTTTCATGTTTAGATTCATGATAGTTTAAATTAACTTTTGGGGACCAGAGAGAGCACAGAGGGTTGTAAGCACACGCCTTGCACAGACCCAATATGGGTTCTATCCGTGGCACCCACACGGTTCCCTGAGCAGTGCTGAGTGTGGACCCAAAACAAGCAGAACAGAAATTAACTTTTGTGAGGGTAAAGCTTCACTTCACCCCACATGCAGTCTAGTGTTCTAGCACTATTTTGTGGAAAGGACAATCATTACTCTATTGAATTACCTACAAGCTTCCATTAAAATGCAACTGCGCATCCACAGGGGTGTCTACTTCTGAACTCTGCCTTTCTCCCAAGGCCCATGCTTCTATCTTTATACCAATATTAATCTCGATGCATGTTGCATTACTGAAAGTTTTGAAATAAAGCAGTTGAATTCTCTGACTTTCTTCTTTTTGTTGAAATTGCTCTAACTATTCTAGGTCTTTTGGTTTCTCCATAAATTTTAGATTCAGGCCATCAGCTTTCATAGAAGATCAGGCAGGATTTTGATTAGAATTTCTTTGAATATGGTTCTCACTCTATGAAAAAGGTCTCTCTTCATTTTACTTAGGTTTTTGATTTCTCTCAGCAGTGTTTTACAGTTTTCTAATTCCACTTCTTATATAAATCTTATTAAATTTGCCTCTAAGTATTTTTAATGTTTTTATATCATTGTAAGTGGTATTTAAAATTTTTCACTTAAATACTCAGAAATGTAACTTATAATTCACACACTGAGCATGTATCCTGCAACCATTATCAATCTCACTAGTTAAAATATTCTTTTTGGGCCACAGAGATTAAGGTGCTTGCCTTGCATGCAGCTTACCCCAGTTCAATTCCCAGGAATGACCACTGCCAGGAGTGATCCTTGGGCACAGAGCCATGGAAAAGCCCTGGGCATTGCTGGGTGTGTCTCAAAACAAAAAAGTTACATACATGTCTTTTTTCTCATTGGGACCCACAGGTATGGCTCAATGGGCTGAGTAAATGCTTTGCATGTGGGAGGCCCAGCTTCAATGCCCTGCATGGTCCCTGAGCACCACTTGAGTGACCCCCAAGCAGAGCTGAGAGCATCTCCAGATCACTGCCAAGTGTGTACCCCCCACACCAAAGTTGTACAAGTACATACACGTGCGTGCACGCATTCCTTAGGACCTCCTGCATAAATAAGGATGATGTTTGTTAGTAAAGTTTTACCTGTCTTGCCATAGTTTTTTTGTTTTGTTTTGAGGTCACATCCAATGATGCTCAGGGTTTACTCCTGGCTCTGCATTCAGGGATCACTCCTGGTGGGGTTCAGGGTACCATATGGGATAATGGGAAACAAACCCAGTTGGCCATGTGCAAGACAAGTGCCTTACCCCCTGTACTATTTCTCAGGCCCCAGTCTTTCAATGTTTTGATTTTTAACACCACAAATACAAAAAGATTCACCCTATTACACTTTTACGGGAAATGGATAATTTTATAACTTTGTCCAAAGTCATACTTGTACAGGAATGTTTTGAGTCTGACAGCTTCATTAAGATAAAATTTACTGATTATTTCCCATTGAGATTTTTGGAACCATCAGCAATTTCATTCCAGACAACTGAAGCGTTTTATTTCAGGCTATTTTGCAATCTATACATCTCAACTGCAAACACATATTTGAAATTCTGATAAGCTCAGGATCCCAAGTTACTACTAATGATAAGAGCAATAGATGCTACTGAAAAACATTCACCAAGAAATATTTTAATTCTTTTTAAGGAGTAACTGAAGGAAAAAATATATACACTATTCAGGAATAAAATTGAAGACAATTTTGATTTAAGCTGACATCCTGACAAAGCAACTATTGCTACTTGACACCTGTTTCAATGAGTATTTCTTGTAGGAAAGAAAAATATTCTCCATAGCTATGTTCATGTAAACTATCCTGTTGTGAATTTATTTATTTATTTTTTGGTTTTTGGGTCACACCAGCGATGCTCAGGGGTTACTCCTGGCGGTGCTCGGGGGACCATATGGGATGCTGGGAATCGAACCTGGATCGGCAGCGTGCAAGACAAATGCCCTACCTGCTGTGCTATTGCTCCAGCCCCGTTGTGAATTTATGTCAAATATAAAACACTGCCCCAATTTTTTTCCCCTTTGTCTTTTCTTTGTTTTGGGGCTAAAGCAAGCAATACTCAGGGCTTACCTCTGGCTCTGCACTCAGGAATTACTCCTGGTGGTGCTCAGGGTACCATATGGGATGCTGGGAATCGAACCTGTGTTGGTCGCATGCAGGACAAAAACGCTGCCCTTTGTCGCCCAAAAAGAATGTTTTAAGGAGTAAAGAGTTTATTGGGACTGTGGGAACTTGGACCACTCCTTCATCCCATACACTGCAGCAAATGAAGCACAGCAGGTGCATCAGGCCACCCCAGAGACAGGCTCCATTCCTATCCTAAGGAGAGGCCCTGAACTGATACGAGTTAGCAAAGGCAGCCTACACACAGTGACTTCTGATAGAAAACCTCGGGAGAAGACATGAGCCAAATAAGTGAGAAGAGGAAGAAGGCTGCAACAAAAGAAACAATAAAGTTCCTAGACCAAGAAAACTTTTATCACTCATTCAGAAACCATGAATAAGTGTTTTTCTGGTCACACCCAGGAGTGCTTAGACCTCCTGCACTCAAAACGTGCTCAGTCCTGTAAGCAGCTACTATTCGGCAGGGGACATGAAGCAATTTCATGTCTAAAAAGAACTAGAAAAAGGATTAGGAAAAAGGAACACTACTTTCCATTCTGTGTTGTCTTTTCACTTGAACCTATTTAAAGGCACTTCTCAGCTTTAACACTGTCGAAGGAGCGAGATGCTTGTCTCCTGCACCCTGAAACTTTTTTGGGGGGCCACATACCTGGCAATGTTCAAGGGTTACTCCTGACTCAGCACTCAGGATTCACTCCTGGAGATGCTCAGGGAACATATTGGATGCCAGGAACTGAACTACAGTGCCTTATCCACCGTAGCATTGCATTGTCAAATATTCTATGTGAGGGAAAAATCAGCTCCTGCTGAGAACTGACCTAGAGTGTTCAAACAGTCTATAACTCTCAACCAAGTTGCATACATATGAAATTTTATTTAAAATAAGCTTTTTTCCTAAATAAGCTCCTCAAAGGCAAGACTCACACACCTTTGGTCTCCCTTAACACTGTATCCCCAGGATCTTAATTAAATTAAAACACTATAATGTGACATATATATTTTAGACGTATTTCACATATAATATATATGAGATATACATACATATATATATAAAACGCCCCGGGGGGGGGGGGGGGACGGGCTGAATATCCCTCTCCGCCCTGAGCAGAGCCCCGGCAGCTGAAGACCTCCTGGACCAGCCATGGCCATGCTGAGACCACTCTCCACATGCTAGGACGAGCCTCAAGCATGAAAGAACCGGTAGAGGAACCCTGGTGTGCGGGACCTGGGGCTGAGATCTCCAAGCCTGCTCGGTTCGGGACTGGGCCTCCTCCACCCAGATCCCCCATCTTCCAATAGCTAGGCGTTACACTCACCAACTGCCATATAACTCCATCAACGGCCAAGATCCAGAGACTATAAAACCAAGCCAGAAGACCTCTTATTGTCTAGTTCTTGCTCTGAGAGAACCTGGCAGGCTACCGAGAGGATCTTGCCCGCATATATGCTTGACTGGGAACACCTGTAAAGGTGATTAGAGGCTGCTCCAAAAGCCTCCATGCCTCTCGGAGAGCCTGGCAAGCTACCTGTGGCGTCCTCGATATGCCAAAAACAGTAACAATGATGGTCCTCATTCCCCTGACCCTGAAGAAGCCCCCAATATGTCATCAGGCTACACTAGCACCTGACAGGGATGAATGGAGACGTTACTGGCACCCGCTTGAGAAAATCGATGAACAACGGGGTGATAGTGATAGTATTAATGTGATAAAAATAAAACTCCTGGGGCTAAAGAAACAGCGCAACAGGTCTGTGTACATCCTTTGCAAGGAGGCGGCCTGGGTTGGATCCCTAAAACACACCAACCCTCAAGCACCATGCCGAATGTCAGCTTATGAAGTCAAAGGCAGAACCTGAACAACAATGGGTGTGGCCCGCAAACCAAAACATTAAAAAGGGCTGTAGGCAATTCCCTATACATTCCGCACATGAAGAGAGGAAAACAGAAGGGGGGGGGGGAATCTTGTTTAATTTGGAACTATGAAATATTCTTCAAATCTGAAAACCTGATATTTACTAAAAGCACAGAAGAATCTGAATAATTTAAGTTGGAAAGAAGAGCTCTGAAAGAAAGAAACAACAGAAAGGAATATTCCAGGTCTCACCTGTGGCAGCTGGGTTTATCAGTCCTGCAGAGCCGCTGCTCGGAATCTGGGAAGAGGCTTGGCCGAGCCCAGTGGACGGGGTTCCCAACCGAGGAAACTGCTGAGAACTCATTTCCACCTGCAGTGTGAATAGCTGAAAGGTTACTGCTGACTTCTGAGATTAGAATTAATAATGCCAAAGTAGAGCATTCTGAGTCCCGCCCGGACCTTCCCTTGGGAGAAGCAAATCCAGCTCTACTTATCTTAAAACAATGACTGATGGGGGCCAGAGCGATAGTCCAGAAGAACAGGGCGCTTGCTCTGCAATGTGGCCACTCTGGGTTCAATCCTTGGCACCCCATGCGGTCTCCCAGCACCGCCAGGAGTGATCCCCAAGGGCAGGGCCAGCACCAGTACGAAGCACTGCCGCGTGTGGCCCCCAAGCAAAAGCATATCCCCCCCCCAAAAAAAAAACAAGGACTACGAATCGGCAGCACAGAATTTACGACGTGCACGGACTCGATCGGTACTGACATGTACACGATGTCCGGGGTACGGTGCCCACAGCGAGCATGCCACCCACACTGCAGCCACACGGACACCGGGGCAAGACGCGCCGTCAACACGACCCGCGCGCCCGTGCCAGGCGTTCCTGGAAACCGGCACGTCCCCTCCAAGACTTGGGACCTGCGCGAGGTGGTTACCCGGTTCCTCGGTGGATCACCCGCAGAGTGTGGCGAGCCAGCCCCCTCCCCAAACCCAGAACCTCCCACCAACACTCACCCCGAGGGAGCGCTGCAAGCGCTCCAGCGCACGTGCCCGAAGCCCGCCCCCTTCCCGGGACCCCCACCGGCCGCTCGGGAAAGGACCCCCGCCCGGGTCACCACCCGCCCCCCGCCACCCCGGAGCCCCCCGCCGAACTGGAGGAAACTCGGCTTTACGGCCCCTTCGGGGGTCTGCGAGCGTGCGGGGGGCACCGGGACGGCGGCCCGGGAGCCCCCGACGGGCGGCGCGCCCCTTCACCTGCGGTCGCCGCCCGCCCGCCGCGCTCCCACCTGGCCGGGCCGGGGAGGCTCGAGGCGCGCCGGGCGGGGCGCGGAGCCGGGCTCCCGGGGCGCGCGGGGCCGGCGCGGCAGCTGTCCAGCCCGTCCGGCCCGGGCGAGCGCGCTCGGCCGCCGCCAGCCAGCGCCGGACCCTCTTCCCCGGGACCCGGCCGCCCCCGCGCGCCCATTGGCCCCGCGCCGGCCGCGTCACTCGGGCGCCCGCGCCAATCCGCGGCTGCCGGCGCCCTCTGGGCCCGCCCCTCCCTCCCGCCGCCGGCCGGCCAATCAGGCGCGAGCCCGGCCGGGGCAGCCCCGGCCCCTCGCGGCCCAGCCAATGGCAGCGGGCGACGAGGCCGCACGGCGCGGGGGGCGGGGACGCGGGGAGCCCCGCCCCGGTCGGTGTCTGAAAGCGGCGGGCGCAGGGCCCGGATGTGGAGAGTCACTTTAAACTGCTCCGGGAGCCAAACTCCCCGGGCCGCCCGCCCCGCCCCGCCCGCGCCGGCCCCCGGCCGCCCCGGCCGCCCCGCCGGGGCCTGCGCCCGCCACGCCCCCACGCCCCGCTCGGCCCACCCCTCCCGCGCCTCTCCCGCGCCGTGCCGCCGGAGACCCGGCCCCTGCCGCCGGCCCAACCGCCGTGCCCCGCTCGCCCCAGAGCCGGGGCGCGCGCCGCCGGGCACGGGGCGCCGCTGCCCTTCCCCGGGGACGCGCAGCGGGACGGACGCTGCAGCCCGGCGCGGCCGCCCCGCCCCCTCGCCTCCTCCCCTCTGCTCCCGAGCACCCGTCCCGCCATTACCTGGGGGCCGCGCCAAGTGGCCGCCGCGCCGCCTCGAGCTCGCTCTCGCGCCCTCCCCGCTGGCGGGGCCGACGTCCTCGGGCGCTCCGGACCTGCCGCCGCCGCCGTCGCCGCCGCCGCCGGGGCGCTAGCACTCTGCCCCCCACCCCTCAGCCCAGCGCCGCTGCTTCCGCCGCCGTAACGAGCCTCCCCGCGATTGGCTGCCGCACGCCCCGCCCTCCGCCGCCGCAGCCACTCACGGCCCCGCGTGCGAGGGAGAGCGGGCGGTCCCGCCCCCGGGGGCCGCGGAGGCCTCTGGGAAATGGAGTCCCGCGGGCCCGGAGGGCGGGCCGGGGGCGGGGCCTGCGGGCGACCCCGGGCCGGGCCACACACCTCTGCACTCTGCGGTTGGTTCCGCCTTTTCTTTTCGCCCGGTGAGGACAGTGGATCCCACCCCGTGGCGTCCGCTGACAGCGCTCGCTTTCATTTTCCGCTGGGAAGCGAGCGCGGGAAAAGCGTCCTGGCGGCCTGCTGCGGCGGGCCGAAGGGGCAGCGGGCAGGCCCGGGGTGTTCCTGCCCCGCTTTTCTCGGCGCTGCGTGCAGAACCTGGTGTCGCCGCCCAAGGCCACGGCGGGCACGAGCCCGGCTCCGCGGAAGAACTGAACCCGGGGATCTGGAACCCCGTGTGCAGAGTGCGCCCGGCACCCCCCCGGCTCGGAGCAGGCCGAGGGGTCCTGTAGGCATCGCGCGCTGCACAAAGCAGCCCAAGCGGGCGCTGGCGCATCAGCCCCTGTGGAAGTCCGAAGCAAAGCTGCCCAGGCTACATGCAGAACTGGTGATAAATATCCCGCGGCCCTCCTCCCTTCCCGGGTGGCAGTTAAGGGCTCCTTAGTTTGAGGAGGGGGGCTGGTCACATCCCCAGAGCAGGTAACAACCACCGCCTAGGAAATGAGGGCCTTATCGCAGCTTTTGGAAACAAGGATGAATCTCAGATACCTCTTCTTCCCCAAACCGCTTTTCTTAACTCACTCTTGCTGGCTGGAATTTCCCTTAAAAGTCATTGAATTCAAAAGAGGCATTGAGTGGCAATCATGTTTGGTCTATAGTCTACTTTCAGCATGCTTTTCCCATCCTAGGAGGATCCTCCCACCACCGTTTATTTGGTGCTCACTTCTCTATCTGAGCTCCCTTTTCCCCTAGCATGTGCAAAAGGGAATGCCCTGCCACAGAGGCATGGAGGGATGGGGGGTGGGAGGGATACTGGGACCCGTGATGGTGGTGGTGGTGGTGGTGGTGGTGGTGGTGGTGGTGGTGGAAAATGGACACTGGTGGAGGGATGTGTATTTGATCATTGTATAATTGAAACCCAAGCACAAAAATTTGTAAGTCTACAACTGTACCTCATGGTGTTTCACTAATAAAAATTAAAAAAATTTAAAAAGTCTTTGAATTCAGAGGCTGGAGCGATAGCACAGTGGGGAGGGCGTTTGCCTTGCAAACGATTCGATTCGATTCCCAGCATCCCATATGGACCCCCGAGCATCACCAGGAGTAATTCCTGAGTGCATGAGCCAGGAGTAACCCCTGTGCATCGCCGGATGTGACCCCCAAAAAAAGCAAAAGAAGAAAAAGTCATTGATTCCAAGAGTTCCTCTCCCACCCTCTTTAGGTAACCTGTTCCTTGCTGGATTCCACTCCTGCCACCCTGCTCACTGCACCCCCAGAAGTTGCTAGTGACCTACTCTACGTCACCCAGTGCCCTTGCGTGGTTCGTGCTCCTCTCGCGTGGGGCAGTAATGCATCCTGACGATGTCTATATTTTGTCCCCTGTTTTCTCTCCCTGGTTTCCACTCTCCCTATCATGCACCTCTTTTTCTCACAATATATAGGCACATCTTGCTTTATTATTCTCTATTGTGTTTTACACATACTGCTTTTAAAAAAATTTTTTTGAAGGTTTGTAATAATCCTGCGCGGACCAAATTAATCAGCACCATTTTCCCAACAAATGGTTCTTATTTTTGTTCTGTTTGTAAAACGGTTTACATTTAAAAGTATGTGCGTTGTTCTTTAGGTTAAATAGGATCACACACTGCAGTATTGTGTTTGTGTGGCTTTTGGTTTGGGACCACATCCAGAGGTACTGACTCTCTCCTCAGGACTTACTCCTGGTGCTGCTCAGGGAACCATACAGAGTTATGGGGATCTAACTGGGCTCAGCCTCATGCACAGATTTTTCAATTTTCTTCAGAATTTGAAAATGATACAGACAATAGAAGGAGCACAATTTTAGGAAGCCCAAGCAGGCCAGAGAGAGAGAGAGAGAGTACAGGGCACGTGGCCTGCCTCAGGGTCCTGCACCACGAGGTCCCTGAGCACTGCTGAGTATAGCCCAGAAGCCCAGTGGAGCCCAGATGAAGTGGCCTGGTAATGCTCTGCACCACTGGGCCCAACTATCAGCACATCCTCCTGCCCGTTCATTGAACCCCCTGCCTGATTGGCTGGGTATTGCCAGGCAGGCATCCTGAGCACTGTGTGGGAGCCTCCCTGCTGGTATTTTGTTATAGCTACTGGTTTGCTTTTGTTTTAGGGCCACTGTAGGCTGTAGTAGATTTTCTCCTGAGTCTGAGCTCAGGGATCACTCCTGGTGAGTTTGGTTTGGGGGACCATATGGAGTGCTAAGGGTCGAACCTGGGTCTGCTGTGTGCAAGACAAGTGTCCTACTCACTGTACTATCTCTCCGGGCCCTTAAGGGTTTGTTTGTTTGTTTGTTTGTTTTGTTTTGTTTTGGGATCACACCAGCAATGCACAGGGGTTATTCCTGGCTCTACACTCAGGAATCACTCCTTGCAGTGCTCAGGGGACCATATGGGATGCTGGGAATCGAACCCGGGTCAGCCGCGTGCAAGGCAAATGACCTACCCGCTGTGCTATCACTCCAGTCCCCCCTTAAGTTTTAAAAAGCCAAACTCATGAGAAAACCATAAAATGAGTTATGAATAGGCTAAAGCAATGAAACAGAGAAATGTAGGAGCTGGTCTCCTGGGCCCCAACTGGAGTGATCCCTGAGTGTAAAGCCATGAGTAAGTCCTGAGCACATCCAGGTGTGGCCCCCAAACCAAAGCCAAACAGAACTGAAAAGAAAACTAATCCTATTTTCGGGGTTGGGATGGGCTACCTCCCCTCACCTCCGTGTACATCCAGAAACCTCAGCAGTCACATCCACACCCCAAAACTGCCACCCGGTTAAAAAACTACTCCAGCCTTACTGTCCCGATAAAAATACTAAATGCCCTGAACAAACACGTGATCTCTTAGTACATGTGTTGCGAACCAAATGCACAAAAATAGAGAGAGGCTGGTGGTGAGAGGCGGGGTGTTGGAGGATATGGGAGGGAAATGGAAGTCATTGGTGGTGGGAAATGTACACTGATGAAGGGATAGGTATTGGATCATTGTATGACTGAAACCCGATCATGAACAGCGTTGTAATCATCTGTCTCATGGATATTCAATAAAAAGAATTTTTTTTAAAAAAGCGTACCTGGGGCGGAAAGATAACATAATGAGTAGGGTGCTTGCCTTGCATGCAGCCAACCCGGGTTCCATCCCCAGCATCCTATATGGTCCCCTGAGCACCGCCAGGGTAATTCCTGAGTGTAGAGCCAGGAGTAAACCCTGAGCATCGCTGGGTGTGACCCAAAAAGCCAAATAAATAAATAAATAACAAAATGCATAGCCTGGAATTCCCTGGATGTCTGGCTTGCTACAGGTCAAAACAGAAGGGAGGGACAAATTCAGTGCTTAGTGGGAGATGAACTAATTTCAGGTAAGAAAAGCAATCTGTAGGTTAGCCTTTGGAACAGATCATGCCTTAGGGGTCTTTACATGCAGTCAGTTATTTAGCATACAGACTGACCACCCATCTTTGTATGACCATGCATAACATTAATTTGAAATATTGACTTTAACCTAAATGAGCCTGATCCTAACAACCATAAGTTTTTAAATTAAAGGGTAAAGGTTGTATCTCATGGTGATACAATTTAAAAAAAAAAGAGTGATGGGTAGGCAATATAGACTTGATACCAAGACTGCATAGTGTATAAGAGTCCTGCCAAACTTTGCTCTAAATTGGCAGAAATCATTGACTTGCTACTTACAATACATTTAAAAAATTTTTTTTATATTTTGTTTTTTGGATCACATCAGGCAATGCTTGGAAATTACTCCTGGCAGTGTTTGAGAGCCCAGCCATATGGCTTGCTGGGATCAAACCTGGGTGGGCTACGTGTAAGACAAAGACCCTACCTGCTGTATTATCACTCTGACTCCTGTTTCTAATAGTTCTGAGGCTGAGTGCCCTGCAATACAACCCTGACACTGGCCTGCTGGTTAGCGTAGGTTCCCTGGCTGAGGACATACCTCATTACAAAGCTTTCACAGATGCCAGCCATGGTCTCAGACCACCCGCTCTGAGTGACCACAAATTTAGGAATTCCCACACATTTGCTTAGTAATTCACCTAAGGATTTATAAAGCTCAGGGAAGTTTTGCATTTGTAATTCTATTTTTATTAGAAAACAGGATACACAGGGACCAGAGTGATAGTACAATGGGTAGGGCACTTGCTTTGCACATTGCCAACCTGGGGTTTGACCACCTGGTACCACATCCAGTCTCCTCATCACTGCCAGAAGTGATCGTGACTGTAGAGCCAGGAATAAGACCTGAGCACTGGGGCTGGAGTGATAGCACAGCAGGTAGGGCATTTGCCTTGCAGGCGGCTGACCTGGGTTCAATCCCCGGCTTGCCATATGGTCCCCCAAGTACCACCAGGAGTAATTCCTGAGTCAAGAGTCAGGAATAACCCCTGAGCATCGTGGGTGTGACCCAAAAAGAAAAAGAAAGACCAGGTAACTGCTCAATGTGGCCCAAAAACCAAAAAAAAGAAAACAAAACTGGATACACATTGGGTAGGGGCTCGGGGAAACATCCCTGTGTTCATAAACAAGGAAGTTCCTTTGTCCAGTCTTCACAGGAGTTCACTTGGTTGGCAGAATAAATTCAGTCAATGACAATGTGAATGATTTCACTTCCCAGGCCCCTTTCACTGTTGTAGGATCTGCTCCCACCTAAAAGTGATCTAGGGATCAGCAGTTCCCTCATGAGCACCCA